AACTTTCCCTTCAGCTGTGAATGCAGCGGTACATAGACGTCATCAGTGTCAGCGCAGAGTTCCTATCCAATTCAGTTCTAACATTCTCATCAAACGTTTGAACAAAAACAGCATTCTTTCATTAAATTCAGTGTATTCGCGTTTTATATAAATGTAGCAACGATGCGCGAAACGTATTTTAGCCGTAAATAAAATTATTAGTTTATTAACGCGAACCAACGGCGGCCGACGTTATCACCTTCTGTCATCAGTGCAATTTAAAATAGATTTAAAGATTAAATAATGTTAAAAGTAATATTTATTTTCAAGATTCAAATGACAACCTCCAATAACTTTTCACCTTTACTTATATTAACACCATAAATACAAAATTTTAAATTCATTATTTATATCCACCCGGTTGTCATTCTGATTGTCAATACCACCTTCTTTCACAAGACACACTCTCCTTTAAACGCTCTTCATCGGCCCTGAATGAAACGTTGAAAGTAATAACAATTCCAAATTAAACACCTCGACTTTTCATTTCGAGCAAATGCTTGAGAGAAATCACGTTCTTTCTCGCAATATTTGGAACGCTTACGTAATATGTATTTACATTGCAACTTTATGTATATATTAGTTTTCGTATTTAATGTTCTACGATTTATATTATTGCAATAAGATTCAGTTAAACAATGAGAAGAGATTTTCAGAGTATCCAACTGCCTCCAAGTATCACTCTAATAACTTTTACTGACTGACACCGTCGCAAACGTAGAGCTGGAAATTCGATTTTACCGTCTCAAAATCTTTTCCAATTTACACAAAATATACTCATATTTTCGAAAAATTGAACGTGACCTTATTTGAAGATCTACTTTTAAAGAACATCTCATTAAGAAAAAATGTTATCTTCATAATTGTAGTTGAAGGAAGATGCCGAAAATGTTTGAATTTTTGCAATTTTCTAAAAATCAGAATTTTTTACAAACATGAAACCTGCACCATTCCCTTAAATGACCTAAATTATATCTGAGGTAAAAATTTAATCAAAAAATTTGATGTCTTCTTTGATAAATAATTGTTTAAATAAAATTAATAAGTACCTATATTTTACGAAAAATTACATGAAAAGTATTCTAATTTTCGAAAAATTGTACATAATAATTCTCAATGTAATTCTTTAAGAAACAGATTTCATTAAGGGAAAATCTATATATTCAATATTTTAATAAATTTATTGTAGAAAATGCCCCTTGGTCCACAAATATTGCAGTAAGCTTTTCTGCTCTTCAAAAGTTGACGACAGTAACATGCGTGCCATTTTTGTGTCGTAGTTCAAACGACACTTGCTAGAGCTGCACATAAAAAAATACCCTCTATAGTGCGAACTTCAAATTCTTTCGTAATTTAATTTCACCATTCCAGTTGCAATATCAGAGGAGAAAAAATATTGTGCGTTACTTTTTGATCTGCCCTTGTAGTATCAACTAACCCGAAGCTCGTAAAATCTTTTATAAAACCGTAAACAGTAGGTGGAATCCCCAACGCCTTTGCCATAGCTAGATAGGGTACTTCCCCGCTCAGCTGCACCACGTACCTGGGCGATGCGCGGGCCTGGCTGAGTGCGACGGAGGCCGCCAGCAAGTAGATGCACATGTGCAGGAGGAGACCGCAAAGGTGCTGCAACACGCCCATCGCGCCACTTGTGAACCTGGGCCGGCCTCGCCCTCCGCCCGGCATTTCCTGCTTGCTTGTTTCCGCCAGCGGGATCCACGCTGTCCCGCTAGCCCTCCGCCCTCATCCCCCACCCCGGCCAGCCAACGGAGCGGGAATGGTCTTCAACCAATTTTTCAGAATATGATAATATCTAACATTCCGTTTTGACGTTGTAATTATTATTATTATTATTATTATTATTATTATTATTATTATTATTATTATTATTATTATTATTGTTGTTGTTGTTGTTGTTGTTATTATTGGAATACAGGCCATTACTGAGCACGCTGCAGCATTTACGTGCGTAATTTTTCCAAGATCAGCTTTTCAGCTGTATTCCTCAGTACGATAAATTGCTACGCCTTGAAGTGTGAATTATGAGATCATAAGATATGATGAGGGATAAAGGGACAACCACAAATTCGACCATGTCTACGTAGGACTCAAACCGGCAGCCTCCTCGGCGCAGACGGCGGCTGCCGCAACCGTCTGCTCCACGAGTCCAAGTTTATTACTATTATTACTGTCATTACTATTATTACTATTATTACTATTATTACTATTATTACTATTATTACTATTATTACTATTATTACTATTGTTAATATTGTTACTATTATTACTATTATTATTATTATTATTATTATTATTATTATTATTATTATTATGGGTGCGTATTTTATATTTACGGCCAGGTATTATTTGCCATTGCCCTGCTTGCGTTTTTAATCGACATAGCCCCACTCCCAAGTGGCTTGAAAGAACGTGCGCTCGGACGTAGGGTTGGTCTTTGGGAGATGAGGGATTAACAAAGGACAGAATATTAGGGTTCGATTTTCGCTGTAAAATGTCTAGGGTTTGGGTAACGGAATAAAGTGAACTACTCGAGCCACCCACTTACTCCCGGTGGAAGGAGGAGGGTGGAACATGAAAGGAAGAATGTTTAGGACGGCGGTCGGCGCCTCTTTGTAGGTATAGGAAACCGAGCTGATTGCACTGCTCCGGCTGAATACCATGAAATTTTTCTTACATTTGAAGTATTTTTTGGGGTACTTCACCGTAGTTGATCAAATGAACGTACTACCTTAATACCCAAACTATTTAATGCACTTCCACAAAATATAAATCAATGGGTGCATTCAAGATCCTGATATGTTACATTTTTAAAGAAAATTAATTTTTGCCACTTCAGAACCTATCATGTACCCCTCTATTTTCCCACAAACTCAAAGCTCTAAGTAAGTAGATATCTCTACTCTCAATAGATAAAAGTGCCATTGGGCGAAAACAACACTTTTTCCTTCGTGCGTGCAAGTATCTGATATGTTTTCCTTCTTGCAGCGAATTCTAGGTTACAGATTGGTGGAGTGAGTTGTGTACAGTTGTGATAATTTCTAGTCTAAGATTCTAGTGGAAATTTCTGGTAAGGTTCGAATTTATTACTTTTTATTTTTATACGATCAAACCAGATACATTCCGAATTTTCAGAGAAAATATTTATCATAGTCTTTTCTTTGCCCATACAAAATTGGTAACATGCAAAAAATGCGACAAGCTTGCTAAAGATATCGATAGTGTGATAAAGATACAAAAACTAACAAAGAACTAAAAAACGAACTGCATTTACCACAAGCCAAAGCAGCTCAAACTATGACGGAAGATGATTTTCTAGCTGTGCAAAATGAATCAAATACATGGGCAATAGCGTTGGATATGCAGCAGGCACTCCCAAAACATCATATCCATACTAATATGGTTTCCTACTCCAGGCAACTCAGGACTTACATTCTCAGAGTACATGATGTAAATGGATGTTCAATGCACATCTGGGCAGACGACTTAGCTAGTAGGGGATCACAAGAAATAGCATCACGTTTGATCTCTTTTTCAAAACAACTCTGAAATTCTAACAGACAAAAAAAATAAATTTTATCGACTCTTGTGGGGGACTGAACAAGAATAAGAATATTATTTATTTGAGTTACTAGTTAGTTCATGTTCTACGTCACTTTGATGAAGGGCAGCATAACTTCCCTCTCTCAGAGCACACCTTTCTTTTTAAGAGGTCCACACCAGCAGTTTGCTCTTCAGAGCAGCGGGTAAACATTATCAAGGAAGCGAAATGAAACAAACGTTTTCCTGTGACAAAAATGAAGGTGCGAAGGAACTTTAGGAAGAAATCGCAACTTGCGATTCCCCGAAGCTACGAATATCGAGTAAGTGACAAATGAGAAAGAAAGACAGTTGTTTTTTCTACAACTTTAGGGGAGTCAGGAAAACGAAGACAGAATGCTTGTATACTTGGTAGGGCGTGGAAGGTTAAAAGAAGCTATGCTGTCAGTAAAAAGTATGATATTGATGATTAATGCAGATGGAAGTTACAAATATATAAATGGAGGGAATATGGAAATGGTAATTTTGGAACCAGGAATTATTGGCATACGTGCGTAATGAAGCCACGAAAGTCATCGCAAGAGAAGTGGTTATTTTCGACTTTTCTTAATTTGACATTGTGAGAAGGCCAAGAGATGTATTTTAATAGGAAAGCATTTTAAGGTCTAGAGATAACATGGCCATTAAATAGGGGCGCTTGTATGAATTAATCTTGTAACTGTATATATAATTTAATTTTATAATACATATTTTATATATATATATATATATATATATATATATATATATATATATATATAGTGTGTGTGTGTGTGTGTGTGTGTGTGTGTGTTTTCTTCTGATTGGTTGGCAGAGTGATTTCTCAGTCGATAATTTTAGTTTTACTTTCAGTCCTTAAAGCCATTACAATATCAACTGATGTCCACTAGCTTGCCAGTTAGACTGAATTCAGTCGCTGCCAGGAGGAGAACTCTAGTGGCCGGTTGCTCTGATTGGATCTCGCCATTCAGTGGGGGAAGAGCACCGCTACCTTGCAATGGAAGCACAAACACTACCATTACTTTAGCGGCTGACGCGCCCGGAATCACTATCTATCAATCAACCTTCGGTTCCAAATGTTTCCCCTTTTTATTAGTATTATCTCTTGGTCAAATGCCAAACAATTTATTTGAAATTGTTGTCTTCATGTATTCATACATTTTTTAAATAATTTTTTGATAATTTGTAGGCTGGTTTTGTTTGCGTAATTATTTACTACGTTATTTTCCAAGAGCACATTCAAAAAACAATAGAAAGAGTCTGTCTCATCGTGTTATTCTTGTTTGAGTTTTGTAGAGTCTCCAGAAATCAACCGTGAATTTAACTTTTTTACTTTTTCGTAAGCTATCACAAAGAAAATTATCTAGTGCTGTAAAAAATCAATATCGAGATTTCGAAGGAAAATACACCCTTTCGGGGTCCCTGCGGTGAGAAAGTAAAATAATGCAAGTAAGGATAAAATGCAGTCTAGTTATCAGGAAGGCGGCGGCGTAGTCAGCAGTGGACTTGTGCTCTGCTAAGTCCATTCTGGACCAGCTCAATATAAATAACTCTTCGGCTCGTGGCGTTCCATTCATCTGAAGCCGCCATGGTTGCCCTGCTGCGCCAGTTTCTGGCGTCGCTGTTGGTGCTGCTGCTGGGGGCCAACACAGGACCTGGCGATGCTGAGGTGAGTTCCGCCCCTCACCTCAATAGGAACGGTAGACTCTAATCAGATTCTTGTGAAACATTGTAAATATTTTGGAACAATTTTTGAAAAAAATATGTATTAGGAATATGAGAATGGACAGGCTTATAAAATTTGTAACAATTATTTAAATCGATAATGAATATATTGCAAAGTATGTTCTTCTGATAAATCAACTATCGTCAGCAACTCTGTCTTCAATAAAGTGCTTGAAACATCACACACCATTTCTTCTCAAACCCACTTTTAACTGATCGTTTTGTTACATAATTGGCTAAAAATGTGCTTAGCAACATTTGATGTATTTATCCCAAAGACCTTTAATTTCAATTGTTGCTGTAGCAATCTACTTATTCTCACATTCATTAAAAACAGTTTTTTTTTCAAAAGTAACAAACGTTTTAGAAAGTTTTGTAGAATATAATATTTAAAGATATTTCCAATTATCACAATTATTCCAATACGCACATTTAGTTACATTTCCCGTAGTAAATTAAATATATTACATTGTTAATAAAAACTCGTTATATTTAGACATTTTCTCAATTTTCATGTTATTGAATAGTTTAATTAAAAGAGACTTTGAAAATATCATGGAAGAGCATAACTTCCTTTCTACATGCAAATTTTAGGAGAGAAATTTGGAACTGCTTTCTAAGAAATTTCGTGCGAGTGTTTGTAAAAATGTACAATTTTGAATTTTGAAACTTTGAGAGTTCGGAAATCTTAATACGAGGTCATTTGAAGAATTTGCAAATCCATTAAATTAGGTAAGTGTGAAAGTATTAACGACTTGAAGGGTGACACCCGTATAAGGCGCGTAGTTCTCACCCAAGGACAAAATAGTGATATAGATGGAATTCCGTAAGGAATTTCAATTATTTCAAGTAAACTGGCTTGAAAAAAGTGCTCAAATTCCATGCTTCAGAAATGCTTTGTTTCATTCAGGAGGTACGTGAATAGTGCTACAGACACTCGGTGTTATCAAAGACATATAAGAAAAAATGCTAGAATTTCGTGTCCCGTAGTCCACCGAAGGCAGCCAGCAGTCTCATGACACTCAATGTTTAAAAAATACATGTGTAAAAGTTGAAAAATAACGAGTTTTATCAAAATTGTACATATGACATGATATCCGCTTTATTTAGCTCTAACCGTACAAAAGTTTAAAGAACTTTTTAAAAATTATAGCCATTATCGAGAAAATCTTGTTTGCGAATTTTTTATCACTATTTCACTTAAAATTCATCCAAAAACTACTCTTATTTTTAATAAATTAAAATTGATATATTAACAATCTAAATAAGAACAATTTTATTGAAAAAATCTGTCTTCAAGAGCGTATGAAGATAGTGCAAAAAATGTAATGTATTTTCTTTAACTTCAGAGGTTTTCATGAAAATTGTAGCAGTACAATTTTTAAAAGCATATACTAACAAAAAATTATAAATTTTGCAGCAATTTTAGAGAAAACTTTGAAAATGTCTCATGGACTTCACATCACAAAGATACAATATTTCCCATCCCAAACGTACAAAATCCCTAATATTAAATGATTCATTTTACACTTGGGAGTTCTGTGTTGGACAGACTGATCGAAGAATATTCATTTTGGAAAAATCCTATGTATGGTTTAGTCGTTAGTATTGTTCACACACAGTCAGACGTTTCGCCAAAAATATTTTTTTATTATCAACGACCCACAAAATGTGGCTTCTAACCTCACTATGAATTCCAGGAAATCATTTACTAGTTTACGAGTAAGAAAAATTTGTTTATACTTTTCCGTATACATACGTATATACGAAGTAATATACATAGTATAGGAAAATTTATGTAAAACTGCGCAAAAAACGGTGAATTTTCGGCAGAAAAAATTCATTGTCGAGCCCTGATAACGAAAAGGTAAATAAATCCGGTCGCTAAATTAAAAAAAATCCTCTAACACGGAGTGTAGCCAGAATCCCCGTTCTGTGGGCCCTTGATACCGAAAAATCAATTAACTGCAAAACGTCTGTCTGTCCGTCCTTCTTTCTGTCCGTCTGTCAACACAAGTACTTGCACTATGAATAGGTTTTTTTCCAAATTGAAGAAACACCTGCCTATCTGACTCGAGTCGAAGCTTTGAGATTTTTAAATTAATTCTTTCAAATTTGGGAGTACTTTATATAAAGCCCTCCGGACATTTTCCAATTTTTTTCTTTAAATTTATTGCAAGAATAGAGTAGTATACACTTAAATAGGGTAAATTGAAGGTGTTGTCTGGTATCAAAAATTTACCACATTTAATTATTAGAAGGTATCTTCCTCACCAGTGATGTAATTAACATGCACTTATAAAAGTGGCATAGGTCCGATTTTCACGGTTAACTCTGAATTTTCGAACATAGAATTTAATTTGAAAATTGAAGGTAAAGGAATTAAGGAAAAATTTACTTCAAATGAAATTTACTTCAAATTACATTTGTTGTGAATAATAAATTATTTCAATGCGTTTATGTACTTTTTTTGAAACTTATTGTTTGAAGAAATTAAAAAAAAACAAGATTTTCTCAAAAACGGCTCCAATTTTTTTCTTTAAATTTTTGGTAGGGATAGTGCCAAATGCACTCTATAAGATGACATAAACGCCATAATGCTCTATTTTGTTTTTTCCAAAATGACAAAAATGAACTTTTTTGCTTGTGTCTCACGTCGTTAATATTAATATTGGTGGCAATTTATTCACATTATTATACTTATGAGTACTCGGGCTTTAAAAAATTTCAGATAAAATTTCACGAAAATTACTGTTTTATGTGAAAACTATCTCAAAATTCCGCATTTTCAGAAACGCTTAAACGCCATTTACTCAAAAAGACACCAAATTGTGATTAACAAACTTTTCAAACAGATTGTGCCAACTGTACTCTTTAATATAATGTAAAGTTTATTTCGAAGTATTTTTTTAAAATACACAAATGTTTTTTGTTTATTTTTGAACGATCTCTCACGCCATTAATATGCACATTTATGTCAATTTGTAAACAGTATTGTATTTGTGGGTAAAGGTACTTCAAATTACTTCTAATGACGTTTTTCGATAACTCAAAAATGTTCTGTGAAAAAGAGCTTCAAATTGACAGTAGCGTTTAAACGCCATTTTCATAAAAACGGCTCCTAATTTTTAAATGTAAATTGCCATTCAAGACGAGGTTTTTCTGTTTTTTAAAAATATTTATAAAATAATATTTTTGTTCTACTACTAGGAAACATTTTTTAAAAAATGTACTTTGGGCGGCGATAGATGGCAGCTGGGAAGAATATGTTGCAAGTTCGTATAGCTAGTCGAGACCAAAGGAAATAGAAAACTAATTCGGGAAATTCTGTGACATTTTGTTGCATCACTAGTTTGATGTCATGTGCATATGAGATCTTCTGTCAAAAAAACGGCACTTTCTCTATACTACCAAAAACTTTCTCTATACTACGTTTACAAGAAAGTAAACGTTTTTATCTTCGATATTGATGGTGTAGGAGAGGTTTGAAAAAAATTTTTGAAATTTCGAAAATTCAAATGCAATTATATGAAGTTTGTGCTGACATTTTTATAAACTGAGACTTTTTAGCAAGAAATTTGAAAAAAGTCGGAAGCTCTTTTTGAGAAAATGTTGACAATACACCAGGGGCTTGACATAACGTTCCCATTCATATTAAGATTTCAGTTAAATTCGTCGGGTGTCGCACGTAATGTTCGTACACTAGTACGATCGAAGTACCACTTGTACGGTCGAAGTCTCACTTGAACGGTTAAATTACTGCACAAGTTCATTTTATTAAATGTTTGGGCCGCATTATCAACTACGTATTATCATAGGGAAATTATTCCTATTACGGTACGGTAGAATCATTCAAATTGGTTCATTTGCATTTAAAATTAAAATTAAGTATTCAACTAGCTAAACAATTTCAATTTTACTTTATGATTTACACAGTTCCTCTTCTAAGCGATAACTCATTTTCATGATAAACCTTTAACCCTTTCACTGCTGACGAACTGGCTGTGAGGCATGACATCTGCTGTGTGCGCATCGCCGTATCGCGTTGGTCAGCTGAAGTTACCACGCGCCGCGAGACACGCGCGCTGGGTTGAGTACTCACGTGTGCGGAGCACTCACATGTTGAATCCTAATGGAAAGTGCTGAGTAACTATCAAGACTCAGAAAGATTATACTTATTTCAATCGTTTTTTTTTCAAAAAGATCAGTTCTTTTTCAGCTGTTCAGTGTGCGTACGTTGGAAAATGCCACATACCTGGAGATGTCTGTTCAAAGGAAAGAAAGAACCATACCTGGTATATTATATTAATGAAGAGCATATATGTAATTTTTAAATATAACAAAGCTAAAAGAAATGTTAAATTAAATGGTGAAATTATATTTGCAAAGATTAGAGAATTAATGAAGATTATTTTTCATTTATATTAAGTAGTATATTGTTTACACTAATCAAGAGTATTATACGGTATAGTGAACATATTTTGCTGCCAAGCTATATTAATTTTCAAATGTTACGTGAGTGTCATAAACTGCCCTTTTGGGCATTTTAATTAATTATTTTATGTATTGTGCTTCCTCGCATACTACATACGAAGTATAGAGAAAATTATGTAATGTAATATAGCGATTTTTCGACAGAAAAAATATACAGTCGTACCTGATACCGAAAAGTTAATAATTCTTCTTCTTATAACAGTAAATTACTTCGTTTAACACGTTGTCTACTCAAAATTTACGTGTAATTGGCGTCTTAACGAAGAATTGATGTATGGCGAAAGGCCTGCCCTTCAGTCTGTGAACAATGTGTTAATGGCTAAATCGTAAATAGTATTTTCACCAAAATTGATATTCTCCGATCGATCTGTCGGATGTCTTGGCCCTGTAAATTTGAAAAGGCTGTTTTAAAGTTTGAGGGATATTACATAAACCCTCAAGAACATATTAATTTGCCTCACAATTAGACTCAAATATTTTTATTACATTTTTTAAACGAATGCATCAAAATCTGCGTATAAAAATTACGCAAGCTCGATTTTCGTTGAATTCACTGAATTTTTATAAATTGTAAAGGTTCAAACATTCTTTCGCTTTTTCCTACAACTAAAATTTGAAAATAAAAACTTTTTCTTCAGATGAAATTTGTTCTCTAGAATTAATATTGGTATTTGATGAGTTATCGTTGGCATTTACAATGAAATAATTACATGAGTCGTCATAGCTGACGCGGTCGTTTTCCATACAGCAGAAAACTGATGATGATGTCTAAGCAGAAAACTGATGATGATGTCTAAGCCATCGAAAGCTGCTATTGTAATAAACAATATTGTTGGCACTGACGAGTCATATAATTATTTCTCCACAATTAATTCTCGTATTAATGTCATGTACGTTTTTTGAAATTAGCAATAGTTTTTGAGCAATTTTGAGTGAAATATGGGCAGCATTAAAACAAAACTTTCTCAAAAACAGCTCCAAATATTTTCTTAATCTTTTTGCGCCGATAATTCTAAATGCACTGAATAACATGACATCACTGCCATTTTGATGCATTCTTTTTATTTTTTAAGAAATGATAAAATGTATTTTTTTTAAATCTCCCTCGTCGTTAATATTTATACTTTTGGGAGTTTTAATACATTGTTGTATTAGTGAATGTAACTTTTTTTGAATAAGAGCTCACAATTAGGCTTTTTAAACGATATTTTCTTAAAAATGTCTCCAAAAATTTAAAAGAATATGAACACGAAGGACTAGTTTCTACTTATCAATTGTACAATTAAAGTCATATTTCAATTCTACAATTAGGGAAACGGAAAGTTGAGAACACGTAAAAATAGTTATTTATGGTACGAGATGTAAAAGTAACATTTCATTATGCAATAGGAAATGACTCACAAGCAAAATATAATCACCACGTGTGTGGTAGACCATTTTTAGACACCCTTGATGACTTTACTTTTATTTTCATTCAAGTACTCAAATAACTTAATTATGTTCCATATTACATTAAGACCAGTTGTAACCGAACAGAAGAATGTACTTTTGTTTTCTTGATTCACATTTTATTCACACACATTATATTCATTTACATTCACAGTTTTATTTGAAAAATTGAGCTACATCTTACTTTTAGCAATAGTATTCAAAATTGAACTTTTAACACTTTGAATATGCCGCAAAAGAAACCGCTTTTACTAGTGGTTGTCTAAAAAGTGGCTTTTAGACGCCATAATGGATCAGCTGGGAAGAGAATTGGGATATATCGAGAAGCTCTCATAAAGTGTGAGAAATTTCGTGTCATTCTATTATTATTATTTTTATTATAATAATAATAATAATTATTATTATTATTATTATTATTATTATTATTATTAGCCTTCTAAGATTCTATTAAGGGCAAGGTCCTTCTGCCTTTTTGAAGGGAATGCTGAATGAAGTGATAGGGTGATGATGAGAATGAAAGGACTAGAATGATGGTGGGAGATGGCAGGTGCGGTGATGGGAGGTGATCGTTACATTTTTTAACCATCCCAGCATTCGCCTTATGACCGAGGCACACCACGAGAACCGTGGTCACGATGGCCGGCCCGTGCAATGACACGATTGCGAAGTCAGCGCACTACGCCCTGAGTGCTTTTGATTTAAATTGGTGGATTTAAAATAGCTGATTTAAAGAATCACCACCATAATCTCTAATATAGCAATAAGTATCGTGTAAGCATCGTTGAAATTCTGTTGTGTTTTCGTACTGAATCAGAACCAAACGTGCATGTGACAGGCGCTGGTGGTGAACCTGGGCAATCGGAGTTTGGTGCCGCTGCTGCTAGAGCGGTTGAACGAGCCCGTCGTCCTGCCGAAAGGAGACAACAGGAACGTGTTCTTCGATGTGCCTGCGAAATATCTGGTATGTTGGACGTTCACATATCGACATGGCTTCTCACACCAATTCAATAACAGCTCATAATTTGAAAGAGTATTAATCTCTATACTGTACCACCTTTGCAGGCTTCCTCGTACTATTCGGAACATTTGGGGGAAATTTTATTAATTACCTATCAACTTACTACAGTTCTTCGAAATTTTGGCCGTTGCTTCCAAATGACTCACCAATTTACGTAATCACAGCACTATATCCATTTTTACTGATATTTCCTAATTCTAATTTCAGAAGAAAAAAATACTTTTCTGCTGCAATAATTTGTTTATGAAAGTTTAATCTACCCAATGCCGTTGAATTTTTTTTTCATTACAACTATGATTGAAAGATACAATTTAAATATTTTAGCTTCCATTCTCATAAATAAATATTTTCAGTAAGTAAAGTTCATAAATGAATTAGTATCAACTTAATAAATCCAAAGGACTGTGTATTACTTAAATATCCGTCATATTATTAAATTGCTGTTCTTGAAAGTTACGGGGGCCCATATAAAATATTAATTGTTGTAATAGGTAAAGAAAAAACTAAAAAAACTCAATCTTTTCATAGTTAACTCAAATGCAGTTACATTTTGTACGTTTTAACTTTAATACACACTAGTTAAGGTTACATCATAAATGTTCATCATCAGTCATTGCAAGAGATAAACTAGAACTGCTTAAGGCAATATTGAATTGCTGGAGGCAGCATTATGTTGTTTCAGGCTGTAAGCAAAGTGACTTTAAAGTTTTTAGTGCGTGGATAATACCTCTGATACAAGAATTGAATGGTGGGATGGACGTGCACGAGTGTAGCTTGACGTTCGAGTGACAGGAACGGGCTTTTTAGGATTCCCGCATTCGTGGGTTGACGCTTTTGCGACCACCCTACGGGATGCTCGGCTCGGCGAGCTTTGTTGGTCCAACTCAACTTGACAACGCCACCGTGGAGGTCCCCGACGTCGCTGTACCTGAGCTGGGCCCAGCACTGGAGCTGTCCCGGGAAGAAGACTTCTCTCTCTTCTTCCCGCGTCACCGTGTGATGGCCCGTCACCTCGTCGACATCTTGATCAGTACGTCCATTTTCTTTACCTTCCTTCTGTGTTTAATTTTCTCTCAGATAATATCAATTAAGTATCTCTTCATGTCCTCATTGTAATCATCCCCTGACTGAAAGCACCGATTCCTCGACAGTCACGAGTGGCAGTGTATCTGACCTTCGGCCCTTTCCAGGTGTTGTTAGCCCGGATATGTTTCCAGCGTTGAGCATGGGTACTGAGACGCTTTCAATTACCTACGACGTCTGTATTCAAATTGGAGGGAGTTCATAAATTGTTGACTGCAGGTATCTGCGGCTCATTGAAAGCCTGGCGGCCTGCAGGCCTTTGCAATGACCATTATTAATCGGTCTGCCATGTCGCGAGTGTTATAGACCAATGGGATAGCAAAGCTTTCACCGAAGGGGATTTTGTAAAACAGTGTACAGTAATAATTGCTGAAGAGGTGTTTCCAGAAAACAATAAATCAATGCAAAGATGTTAGTCTTTGCATCCAACACAGTTGCATTCGGAGTAGAAGAAATAGCTTCTAACATTCCCTCTCATCTTACTGTTATGGCATCAACGTTTGAATGGTTTTCAATTACTTTGTATGAAACAACGTATGCGACAGACATAGCACAAGTGTTACGTTAATAAGAGGTGTCAGTGCTAGTTTTGATGTTACGGAAGAATTGTTTGATGTCATTAGATTGTATGGAAATACTACAAGGGAAATACTACATATGTTCAAACAAGTACTGAAACCCTTAAGTTTAATCTCAATTTGTTCCAACTGACATGTGTCACTGCAGATGGTGGAAGTAAAATGTGTGGCTCATTGTGTAATGTTCTTGGAAAACTTAATGCAGAGTGTGGGGCAAAAGAAATTAGTAAATCCATGGCACACATAGTATTCTTCATCCACAGGCACTGTATGGAAAATCAGTGAAAATGTATTCTGTAATGACACCTATAATTTCTATAGTCAAATTTATCCACTCTCATAGACTACGGCACCCCGAGTTCAAGTCTATTTTTCAGGAATCAGAATCACCTGATCTTAGCTATCATACTGCCGTAAGATAGCTGGGTTTTAGCAAAGTCCTGAAAAGTTCCTTTTTCTGTGTACAGTAATTGAAATATTACTGACAAAAATGGGGCAACTAAATAAGTGCTATCTGACAAAGATTGGTTTTGGAAACTGGATTTCATTTCAGATATTGCTGTTTCTCGAAATAAAATTAATAAAAAATACAAGCAGAAAATAACTCCATGTGTTATACAAGCACTCACATCAAGGCATTTAGGCAGAAATTATTATTTCTAAAAAGAAAACTGGTACAAAATCGTTTTCTCTCTACCCTTGAGTTACTAAGGGCTGAAATGGTGCTCAGTTCCCATTACCACAATAGGACAGGTACCTAAAATTACACATCACTGTAAGTCATTGTGAAAAACAAATGTCATGGTGAAAATCAAATTATATTTTCAGTGTATTAATAATAAATAATAATCATTTTTAATTTTATTCTTTGTGTGTAGGCTTGCCGACTTACGAGAAGTTCCTGTGCGTGAGCGCCGTCATCCGGGACAAAGTCAACCCTTACCTGTACGCATACGCTATGTCCGTGGCCATCCTCAATCGCAACGACACAATCAAGACCCTGCCCAACAGCGCCAGCCTCTTCCCACAATTGTACTTCCAGGGCTCCATCTTGGCGCGTGGCCGGACCGAGGCCCAATTGTTTGCGCCCGAAGACAGGGTCAGATTTTTTCCCTTAATTAACGAAGTACAGTGCGACAGGAAAGTCTCTCCGCAGAAACACCTTGTCGGTGAGTGTGCTGGCAACACAAATTACGTTGGTACAACTAGCTGCGGTATGTAACAAAAGAAAACATTGATTGCGAACTCACCACAATCATAACAGATGCTGGAAGTGTTTTCCCCTTCGCTTGTTTCCCAGTGATCTGGTTGCTACGAACATAAATTTAATTTTTAATTGGAGGCCCTCACTGGGCTCGGAGCGGAGAGACTTTCCTGCCGCACTGCAATTATGCAAACAAGGGCAGTCCCAAATCCTTTGTTCAGAGAAATCAGGCATTAGTACTTGACCTGCAGCACACTTTAATTCTTGGGTTTCAAAACATATTTGTCCTACCTCTAAATTTTCTCCGAAAAAAGTTACGGGAAATCGTCGGAAAGTTAAGGGACTCTTCTTTCTTATTAGATCTTTTATCCAGCAGACAGCCAGTTACCCTTTATGTACAGCTGTGATGTATATTCGATCATACACTAGACACTAATACACTTGCGAGCTCCTCTGACCTGTGGTCAGCAGAATGCAAGGCCCTCCGCGAGAACGTATACATGAGACAAGGGACAAACAACCATGCCCAAGGCGGGAGTCGAAGTCGATACACTGTCTTGGCTACCTCGACCATCCAGGCCGGCCAAAGTTCTCTTCTTCAGAAATAATTTAATGGCATAAGTATCATAATAACCATCACATCGGCTCTACCAAATATGACGCGAGGGGTGGCTTTCAAAGAAAAAGAAGAATGAATGCTATATGAGAAAACTAATTGATGAACTATTGAACTACAAGAGCACTTGCTTGCACTATTGCTAAATTGCGCAATTTTCAAAAACGTTAAATGAGAATTCAATGAAAATGAGACCTGCGTAATTTATGAGAGTCCTTTGCTCTACACGAGGGGGGAAAATTAAAAATAAAAATTGGAACCGTTTTTAATTCATTTTTCATCAAGCAAACCTTCTAGTTTTTACAAAAAAGTGTACCTTACGTATAGGTCTATGTTCTTAGAAACGTGTGCATGAAGGAAATATTGTTCTTTTGTAATGCACACTTCACCATATATATATATATATATATATATATATATATATATATATATATATATATATACAGAGAGTTTGCTGAAAATGGCACTTGTGCTGTTGTTTAGCGTCCTTGGCTATTTCAGAGAGGAAAAATTAAAGAAAAAATTTGAGCCGTATTTGAGGAAATAATTGCTTAAAATATTCAACAAAAATTTACGAAGAAACTCATCATATTTTCTAAACACTGTACTGGACCTTATTTAAAACCTGTCTTTGAAGAACATATTTCATTAAGGACAAAATATATATCTTCAATATTGTAGTTGTAGAAACACGCAAAAATTTAACAATCAGAAAATCATTAATTACATCCAAAATTAGTCCAGCGACATTCTTTTAATAATATTTTATACTACCGGAGGTCAACGTTTATGCAAAAATTTAGGGTCATTTTTGAGCAAATATTAAGTTTTCCTTTTACGACCCGCAATTTTTTTTTTGTTTTTTTGTTTTGTATTTTTTTTTTTTTTTTTTTTTTTTTTTTCAAATTCGCTCGGTCTGGAGTTCGGTCAGATCCATCGTGGAATGTCACTTTGGTGAAAATCGTCCGGAGGTTTTGACATTAGCGTTGATTACAGATGGATACCAATATTTCAGTATCAATGACCCTCAAAGCGTGTATTCAAACGGCACAACGTGCTAGAGAAAGTGCTTTACTACATATAAAAACTGGATTTCGATATCAGGGCCCCAAAATACAAGTTATACTGTCGAAAAATTCACTCTTTTTGCTGCAGCATTACAATACTATCTCTTCTCTAAGTATGTAGTAAGGCGAGTAAGTATACATTTTTTACTAATAATATTTGTGACACTGTTTAATATTTGATAATAAAGTTTTAGAGCCCAGAATCATTTTATATGTACCACTCCCCTCCTTTGGAGGGATGGAACAAACTTTCTTACTTAGACAAGCGTTTGGAGAGGGCCTCATTTCCCTTCTGGAAAAACCTGCTGCAATTTTAAAGTAGAGAACATGTTTCCGTTTTATAAATGCGAGTCCAATTCCGACTTAGGATGCGCCTTTCCAAGTTTCAGAGTACAGCTCAGATTTATTTTATGTAACCGAGGGTCTCATATTTATTCAGGAGTAACCTTATATATACTAAAGACTCAAAATAAATTTTCTAACTTCTAGGGAATGTAGAATAGTTGAAAATGATCACTATTTGTGTACGTGTTTGGAACGTGCACGTAATGCTGCAACGAAAAATGATTCCCTATGCTGCCTTGCACCAAGGGAAGTCCTTATACTATCTTCCAAACGCTGACACACATCATTTGTAAAATTTTGTTACGTGAGTTTTCTCGCCAAATGTTCAGTGACAGAAAGTAATCATCTTCGATAACCCTACAAGCCTCAGAAGTTTGTAACATTTATTCTGTGACAGCCTCTAAACGCAGACTTGCTTTGAAGGCTTGATATTGTCCCTCACATGATCGCCTGTGGGATGTTGGCGTATCTGTTCGCAGGAGCCCATCGAGATCCCTCGAAACTGGACGGCCACAGACCTGGAGCCTGAACATCGCGTCGCCTACTTCCGGGAGGATATTGGCATCAACCTGGCTCACTGGCAATGGCACGTTCACAACCCTCACTCCGGGTCCCCCTCCGCCGTCAACAAGGACCGCCGCGGCGAGCTCTTTTATTATTTCCACCAGCAGATTATTGCCAGGTGCGCCTTCACCACTAAATAAAACTACTAATATGATGCAAAGTAGCATAAGCTTTCCTTAACGTGGAGTGAAGGAAAATAAAGGGATTCCGCCTAGCCACTAATGATGAGACCGTAAAGTTCATACTTGTGTATTTTGACCATCAAGACATCTCTGATGAATCCAACCTTATTATTTGATGATTTCATGAGCGAATACTGAGGTTACTGACCGGATAGCCGCACAGTATAATCGTGCCTGCTTCAAAAGTGTGAAGAAGACATATTGATAACAGCAAACAGAACATCTTTTGTATATTACGGACATGTTGTGTACAAAATATTAAATGACTTCTGATATCAAAACAAGAAATACAATATCGTAGATGCATGTTTCAGAGTCTTTAAAACAGTAGTTGATTGATTTTTTCAAGCGTATCAAATAAAGGAATACCTACCAGCAAACAATTGCTTAAATAAAGTTGAATCGGTGGTAACAGATACGTTGCCTTTATTATTTGAGTTAGGAAATTTTAAAATTCTAGAACAGTGCCATTGACTCATAGAATAAAGATATGCATATCGTTGGCACATGCTGGCGTATCGGCAGCAAAATTCAAGTATTTTTTCTCTGCTCTTTTGACAGGTATTAGCGCATATTTCTTCAAGAAGTTGGGATGAAATCTATTTGACGATATCTTGATTGCTATTGGATTTGCTTCATTGTACTTTGAAACTTCATTACTTGAAACGTCTTACGTTCTGCTAAATAAAGAATCAAAACAAAATAATGAAGTATTCGGTCAGTTCAGTTTCAAAAGTCACAGATCATAATATGAGCACATTGGATGATCTAATACTTTTCATGTCTTGAAAGGAATAATTATAATAGGAATAATAAATAGAAAACCAACTCTATCCAAACCAAATTTCAAACAAAATATGACAAACTTAAGTGTGGAAACTTGGGAAAGGAATTGTGTTTTAAAAATTATGATTATGAAAATAATCTTCAAAAATAAAATTTCATCTACCACTTTTACCTCGAAGGGGATGATATAGCCGGTACCCAATTTACGCGATCTTCTGTGAGTTGGTCCCCAATTTACATATGTGTTATACTCTTATCATCCTTGTGTGTTCAATTTCCGTATGCCGTATGTATGCATGTGTGCGCAGGTACAATTTCGAGCGGCTGTCTACCCAACTGAGCCGCGTGAATCGTCTGCTCAACTGGCGAGAGCCCATCCCGGAGGCGTACTTCCCCAAGCTCAACAACGCGCTCGCCAGCCGCGTGTGGCCCCCACGCCAGGCAGACGCGCGCCTCCAGGCGAGTAGCGTTATCGCCCCAACCGCCCTCTCCTCTGCCCTCGCCCCTGCCCTCGCCCCTGCCCTCGCCCCTGCCCTCGCCCCTGCCCTCGCCCCTGCCCTCGCCCCTGCCTCCGCTTCCTTCCTCGCCATCGAATTCACTCCCGGACAAATATTAATCCCACCTTTTTTTTAATTGTAGTGAAAACGACTCCACGATTTAGCGACTACCTCAATTAACGGCCATTTTGGGGAGTACCTGTTGATCTTCCGTTAACTTAATATGTACATAAGTAATGTTCTCGTAAATATCCCCTTTTGAGCCGTGGTCAGCGGACAGACACGCTTCGAACTCAATCTGAATTAAACGACCACAAATTCAAGGCGAATTGGGGATTTTGATCGTAAAGTTATAAAAAAAACGAAAGATTGGTGTATATTACTGTTTATTCAGAACTTTGCTGAGGCAGAATGCAATATCAAATTACAAGAACAGTAATATTTGTATTTGCTATCATGCCGGCTAAGTTATTTGTTTCATTTAACAACAAATTCTTTTCATGCTTGTTCTGAAATTCCCTCACAAATGCAACTGTAACTTCAATTCTCGCTGGGAATCAATATCACTAATGCTCAATAAAGGAGTGAAAAAGTAGGAAATTGAATGATTTTATACGCTGTTTAAGTACGAATTCTTTAAAAAGTTTATTATATTTTATAGATTCATCGTAATAAAAATGTGTTAAATATTTTTCAATAATAACAACAATTCAGTATATTGTTTGCATAAAAAGCCACGCTAACTTTATTTCAATAGCAAATTTAGACCTCATGTTCACTTACTATATTCTCACAATTTTTAATACGAAAACCACATGTCCCAACAGTCATTTTTCTCCAGAACTATGAATGGCCGCTTTAAAGAGGTTTCACTGCATTTTAGTTTTCGCTGTACAGTTTCACCGTTTTGTAAAATATATCTGTTAATTAATCTTATGATGCTGGAAGTATTTTATCTAGAGTGGTCCAGCTTAGCTGCTGATTACCCCACGGCATAAATGAATACTGATTACCCCATGGCATAAATTCTTTGCAGGACGTGCGGCGTAGCGATGCAGTGATAGACATCCTGGATCTGGAGCGCTGGAGGGACCGCATCATGGAGGCCATACACACAGGACGTGCTTACACGGTAAACCCCTCACCTACCCACGTACCTGCCTACCTGCTGCTGAGAACCCAAACGCATGGACTTACGTCAGCTTTAAAATCTGTTTCCTAATCATGGCCCATACAGTGGCGGTTCGTGGTCTGAAATTGGGGTGAAATCCCTAAATCCCTTTTAAAGTGCTTGCGTTCTCCATATTATATTATTTCCTTACCACACTTTCGAGGCACAGTCGAAATTTCTACTCGAAACTTTCCATGAGTTAACGTTTGTTACTATAGTACTCTACGTACTCATTTCGAACACAAACTAAGAAATCTCCATCTTTGAAAGTGCGTACCTTCAGCATTCACTCTTATCACTAATTTCCCATGCGCATAGAACTTGTAAGAAACCTCTGCGGCCTCCTACTTTGTGAGGGATATCTACGATATTCATCAAATACCAATTAATTCTGGAACATTACAAAATCATCTCTACTTAGTAAGATTAAGAACATTATGTGGATACGGGCAGTATGAGAATATGCGAAATTACACAATCAATATTTTGAATTTTTCAGTCAAAATCAAAATTATTTACTACAGTTCCTGTTTTCGATTCAATTCAAACGATTCGTTTCAATCAATTGAGTTGCGATTTTTCCGTGTTCCTGGATATCTAAGAAACCATAGATCATATCACATGGCCGGAGGCTGCATAATTTTCTTTCAGTTTCTACGCGCTTTCTAAATTAGTATTATAGATATGCATACAAAATGAAGCTTACTATGAATTATTTCTGAAGATTTTATGAAATAACAACCCGGTGAAGTTACATTAGCAAAATTGCTACTTCTATGTTACTTTTGTCACAGCACACAAAAAGCAAGGCCAACAGAAAAATATGTAATTATTTTCTATCACACAACCATAAAAAATCACCGTACCAACTTTCTCGAAACTATATAATCTCACTAGGCGAAGATATTTGCAGAATGCTACTTCACCTCGCACAAAAGAACCAGCAAAAAAAGTGCTCGTTTCCGGGTTGCAATAATGTTTGCGTAAGAGAATCGTCAAAACAAAAAATACGGATTCAAGCAGTATTAAAATAGTATTATTCGAATGTTATTTTTGTAATTCCGCGCATTTATATTGTATATTGGTGAAGAGGCACTTCACTTTTTTTAATCTGATGAGCCACCATTGCCTCCCAGCAGCCCTCTTTATTCCCAAGAACCCATTTATTGTTCTTCGCAGCAACCAGATATAGCCCACGCATTCTGCTTCACAACTACCAAAGAATTTACCACTTTGACTGGAACTATGAACTGGACTGTTTACTGGAACTGGAATGTGAATGAGAGAAAACCAGAAGCAAAATTTCATAAATTCTGAAAAGAAACTATTTAAGTAAATATCACTGTAAAGACACAGTGCTTGGTGCACCAAAATACACTACCACTGACATATAGCCTACAATTAACAATTTTTTCTCAGAATTTTTAAAATCTCACTTATATCGTTCTGCGTTTCACTCATTCATATTATATCACCTTCTTAAATTATAACGATTCAAGCGATATTATACAGTTATTAATAATTTAAGAACACTGAATCTCATAAAATCAATAAATTGACAAGGGAGTCTAAAAGTTAAATCTATCTTCGGGATCGAAACAATATACATTCTCCAGGGCATATTAATTGAAACAGAATTACTTAATATAAACTATTCATACCAATTAAAGATTATAACTATTAAATTATGCATGCACTAACGTAAGATAAGTGATTTTCAATATTGTATGAAATATTTGCCTCCGCGAGTCCGTTGACGATCATTTCAACGCTCGAAGAGCAATGCTAAAGCAAAAGAACCCACTACTAAGGCCACAGACTGAATTGCTTGATTAGTTTGTTCGTAGCCTTTCTGATGTTTATTTAGCTGAAGATGTTGCAAAGAAATTAATTCATTATAAAATGAACATTTTAAAATAACAATGAAATAAATCATGTTTCACATAGCTGTACTGCCCGAAATATAGTATTCTAGTATTAGTTAGGCAAATTCTAACAGAAAAAAGTAATAAAAATATCTCCCTTCATCGTCATTATTCTCATCACCGTAAAGAAATGGCTTGTTCACAGTCAACCAGGGAGACCGTGCTGTTGGACAACGACCAGGGCATCGACATCTTGGGCAACATTTTGGAGTCAAGCGACCTGTCAATTAATAGTCACTTGTACGGCGACCTTCACAACAGCGGTCACGTCGTCATCGCCTACGCACACGACCCGGACTTCAGGCACTTGGTAAGCACTTCAGAGGTCGAGATGTTCTAGGTTGGAGAAGTCACAATTCTGAAAATTTTCTACGACTGGAGAATTTGTTCCAGGGAGGAGCCGAGAAGGAACATGCCTTTTTGTAAACCCATTTGTGTTTTTGTTTTATAGAGTTTTAAATAGAGACTTTGTCATCAGCGACTCCTAGGGACTTCATCTGCATTATCAAACTTCTGTACTACCTTTAGAGTGTTTGTATGACGGGTTACATATTTTGGTGAAATATTCATTTAACAATTTAATGATGTGAGAGTTGCACCACGTAATAACACCACGTAGTAACACAGAAATTACACATAGCTATTGCCCAGACAACTATCAATTAAATCTTCATTGAAAAAACCGAGAGATATGGCTCAGGGCATCAACTGATGCCACTGCAGTCCCTCTGTCCGGGAGGTCCTAGGTTCAAGCAGCAGGAATTTCAACACTAACTTGTCAGCTAGGTCGAATTCAGTCGCTGTCTGGAGGAGAATTCTAGTGGCCGGCTACTCTGATAGATATCGTTTTTTATGGATACGAGGAGAAAATTTAAAGACAAAATTTAGTCACTTTTTGAAAAAAATATTTGTTTAGAAAATTAAAAATGTTCTATATTTCACACAAAATTACATGAAAACTTCTCATTTTTTCAAAAAATTGTAAATGACCTTACCGCTCTACTGCAACAATGAAGTACAGATGGGGCGCAGTTTGAATGGTAATTGAATACAAATGAAGCGAAATTTTGTTCTGCTACTGCATCTAGTAGAGTGATAACAAAATTAACAAACACTTCTGGTTGAAACAACAAATAGATGTGCCAACTTTCATGGAGATCGGTCAAACGCAGTCGGAGTTTACCGCTCTTGTATATACCAACACCCATTTTTATATATACAAAGGATAATTTTTGTATATATAAAAATAACATAACATATTATTAGATATAGTATTTTATATTAGTATATTATATATGGCATATGGTTGAAATAGTACTCTTATTATATATTAAATATGTATCAAAAATGCTATTTTCATTAATGGCAGTGAATTTTACTTGAAATACAAGCATTATATTACATAAAATATAACTAAAAAATTATATTAAAAATATTTCCCCTTTTTTATTATTATTTTCTTCTATTATAAGAAATGAAACTTAAATATGCGCAGGTATCGTTTTCGTTCAACTCTGGATTTTTGAAAAATGCAAAATATCTACCTTTGCTTACCCTACCGGTTCTTTCCTAGAATTAAGATTGATGAATATTAAAGACAGAGAACCACGTTCTCAAAGAAAAAAGTTTTTTAAAGAGAGATCTTTAAATAAGGCGAGTTACATTTATATGAAAATATAATTTGATTTCCTGTCATTTTTCTTATAAAATAGGCAATTCATAAGTATTATTTTTTTAAAAGCGGGTCCAATTTTTTCTTTGAATTCTTTTATGAGTCAGGGCAAAGTACGCCAATAAAAGTGCGCTAGGGTATTTTTCGGTCAACTCTGCATTTTTAAAAATCGCAAAAAAAGGATATTGCAAAACTACAATATTGATGTTCGAGACCTTTCCTTTAATGAAATGTCTGTTAAAATGTTTGATCTTTAAATAAAATGATCAGCAACATTTAGGAAATACGAATAGTTTTCATTTGGGTTGTGCTTGGTTTGGCTGAAAAAAAAAACTAGGTCAGAAGAAACGGCTTCAACTTTTTTTAAATTTTTTTCGGGTAGAGCAAATAACGCTTAAAAAGGGCTCAGGTCTCATATTCGTACTTCCAAAAGCTACAAATAATTGACCTTCGTTCTTTTCTCCTTCTGACAAAATGCTAATGTAAATTTCCGTTTCTTCTCGGTCAATAAGAATATAACCTGATGGGCTGAAGCTCGGAGCACGCAGATTTAAAAATGCTCCAACTCCAAAAAAATTACTTTGATTTTTTAATGAATTGTCCTATCAATTCAATGCTTAAATGTGACTTTCTGAAAAATCCATCCTCTCAAGATATTATTTCTTTTTATCCCTTATTGGCAAACTTAGATTATTCCTGAATGCAGTCTTTGCTGAACGTGTGTGCCTTGCAGGAGAAGGAAGGAGTGATGGGGAACACCCGGACTGCGATGCGTGACCCTGTCTTTTTCCGCTGGCATGCCTTCATACAGAACGTCTTCGACGAGCACAAGTCCATGCTGCCGCCCTACACGGTGGAGGAGGTGAGCTATTTTCAATTGGCGCAATACCAGCCATGTAATCCAGAGTAGTCAATACCAGTGGCGGCTACTGCCCCAACATGCTAGAGGTTGCACTTCTATTGAATGACGGAAATGTAATTTCCAACATTCGTAATACGAATATATAATAAAAATGGGTGCACTTCCAGTAAATTAAAATTAAGTTAAAAAAAGGCCAAACTGAAACTATATACAATACATAACTAAATACTTAAAAGTCTATATTTATTTACAACATTTTATGCATAGTGTCTTTGTCCGAATTGTATATTTTTCGCGCACGTGGTTTTGGCTTTGATTTTCCCTGGGCACTCAAGTTCCACTCCAGCACATGGCAACAAGCACTATTGCTTCGGCAGGTTTCAAACAAATAAAATTATTTTATTTCGAAAATTTCACTATCCTGTTATGTTTGGTAATAAAGATCCTTCCACACTCTCACACACACAAAGGTACTTCCAGAACGGCCAACTTTATACAAGGAATTCATGAAATGTACATTTGGCATGGGGGACACCGTTAGTAACTGGAAAAATTCGACAGTCGACCGAAATTCCAAATACATACATACATAATGCATGATTTGTCATGCATTTAATGCCAATACGCTTTTTTGAACTGTATCTTTTATAGTCTTTCCTATTTCTCAGGAATAGTTGTAAACTATGACCAACCAATGAATCTATGTAAATTTTAGTTGTGCACTACAAAGATCTAGTGAAGCGCGAGAGCATTTTCATTCATTCGGAGTCTGCACTCTTCATGTCGTCCTGATAGTCGCTCAGAACGCCCGTCATCAAAAAGGTATGTCTTCAACACCAAAAACTGTCCACTTGGAACGATACCTTATTGATCTGCATAAAGCAAATAAACAGACGGCATCTTAAACGGCTGAAAGTGTAACGATACATTATCAATAACAAAAGTGAACTATCGCTCATCAGAAACCAAAATTCATCCATAGAGGTCTTGGAGGCAACACTCTTCAACCGTTGTTCTAGAGATGAAATGAAGTTTAGAACTATGATCAATGACATACAGCATTGTCAGCATACAGCACATACAGCATTGTCGGCATTGCCAAAAAAGTCTTGTACGAGATGCCATCTTGTGCCATTATAGCCGTTTACTTCAATTTCACGGTTATCTAAGCTAATGTGTTGATTCTTCTATATTCATTTTAACCTATTATTAGGCATTTTGGAAACAATTAAGAGTAGTAGTAGAAGTAGTAGTTGTAGTAGTAGTAGTAGTTGTAGTAGTAGTAGTAGCAGTAGTAGTAGTAGTAGTAGTAGTAGCAGTAATAGTAGTAGTATCCTTTTTATGTCACAACAAAATGTTTGTTTTTTCATATATATGCTTTTAGGATACATAAATGTAGTTTTGATGTATATACACATTAATAGATGCTTTAGCAAATATGGTAGTCTACATACGAGTAAGCCTTTCTTGTTCCCAAAAGGAACACAGACACAAGAGAGAATTCATTTATTGGCTACTGGTTAGAGCTGTGTTTTCTGAAGCTTGTTGTGGCTGGTGCTTTACAGCTGTCATTCAGTGGCGTGCACGTGCGGCGAGTGGAGGTGCAGTCGGTGGGTCAGGAGCCGAACGAGCTGCACACCTTCTGGCAGAAGAGCGACTACAATATCGAGCGCGGTCTGGACTTCTCGTCCGGACCCGTGCTCGTGCGCGTCACCCACCTGCAGCACGTGCCCTTCTTCTACCGCATCCAGGTGAGAGGCAACGCAAAGCGCCTCATGACAAACAGACGTACAACACTTTCCCAATACACATTTCACCGATAAGAGCGTAAATAACTAGAAAACGAACATAGCAAAATCCAGATAGCTGAGATCGTTAAGGTAGAAGGCACATTGATTGATTTGAAGGATCGTTGATTCGAGTTCTATTTATTTGTTGTGTGTTTGTGTAATTCACCCTACATTTTATCATTCTTTCCTCGCCCATTGAAACCACGTCTGCGACTAACAGTCGCAATTGTAATTGTGGGGCCTGTTCCGGTTCTAAAAGTAGCTGCTTTCGAATTGACACTAGTATCCGCCTAGTATTATGATTTGTCGAAAATATGGGACTCAGCTTAATGGAGGTGAATTTTTGCTGTTCAGAAACACGGGAAATTGAAAAAATAAACATCAATTGTTTCATTAATTAAAAATATGTTATTTTTCAATTTTAGTTTTAGGCGCAAGTGCCTGTTATATCTCCACATAATGAATATGTGCTCAGAACCAGTTAGACCATTTCCCTTGACTGCGTAATGATCGCAGCGCTGAAAAATCTAAACAACAGTCGAGACAACTAGCAAACGTCTTGAGCTTTCGTCTCCCAGACAGACCACATACCTTGGCCAATAGATCTACCTATTCCGGCTAGGCGGAATGGTCGTTTGGGAAAGTACGCGAAGAACGCAGGCCCCGAGTGAGCCGTGTGTGATGATGTGCAGGTTCACAACACAGGGGACCGCGCGCGAAATGGCATGGTGCGCATCTTCCTGGCGCCGAAGGTCGACGAGCGACGGCTGCCGTTCAGCTTCAGCGAGCAGCGCGAGTTCTTCATCGAGCTTGACAAGTTCCCCATCAAATGTGAGTAGCCGCACTTATCCTGCCCGCGAGTCACGTCCTGCTCCTTGCTTTTGGTTTTTGGAGAAATTACGGAAAACTACCGACCAGGGTCCCCGTCGCGAGAATTATATTCCAGACTGCGGCTGAATTCGACATCAGCAATGTTGCTACTGTCGACAATCCGCCACCGTCGGAAAACGAACTTTTAAGACCTCCCGATCAGTGACGTAGCAGATGCACCAGTAGTTGTACTTAGTCATGTTAGTCGATCCTAAACCAACAAAACAAGCGAGGCTACGCTCGTATGAGCACGGTCGATAAATTTGGAACTTCGGCCTTAATCACCAGAACATTAATGCAGTAATACAGACTCTGCGCCCCAGTGAGCTGTTAAAATATGCTGTCATAAACTGCTGTGTTCGCCCGCGTGCGCACTCGCCTAACTCTAACGGTATTCTCTTGCATTGGCGTGTTGACGCAGTGGAGCCGGGGCTAAGGACCATCATCCGCTGGAGTAACGAATCGACGGTGACGGTGGACCCCAAGCACACCTTCCTCAACGTGGACAAGCTCCCGCCGGGCCGCCCGGACCAGCGGACAGACAAATGCAACTGCGGCTGGCCGCAACATATGCTCATTCCCAGGGGCCATGCTGCGGGGAAACACTCAACGCTATTCGTCATGATTTCGGACTACGACAAAGAGCGCGTAAGTGCAAGCGATTCATCTTATGCAACCAGGCGAAGGCCGGTGCTGTGCCCTTACAAAAGGGGAACGCGCCGCGCGCAATCTTTCTTTCCTTTCCTTTGCCCTGTTCTCTCCCCTGCAAGTTACAAGCATTTAGGCGTTCATACCCTACACATCCGCTTATGTCAGGAAGTAATAGGGAGTTTAGACTTTGTCACGACCGTGGCAACCCCCCCCCCCCCCCGGGCGGCAAATACTTCGTGGACAAATTCCATTTCTACACTACGAGTACGTGGGCGCAGGATCTCACCATCTAATGGGGGAGAACACCTTCACCAAATGTAAAAACCTTCATTGCATTAACGGAACTAATGGAAATTGCATATTCTGGAAACATTTGTAATCTTATGCATTTTCTAGTGGGACTTAATTTACGGAGAAAGAATAACCATTATATAAGTGCAGTGGCGCACCCAGAGGAAGGTGCTTCAGAACTCCACCCTATAGAAGCCAATGATATTTTCAAAAACATGCATTTTACTAATTTTCTACACAAAATAAAATCATTCAATATTTAAATGGTTAATGTTATAATTATCAACTAAAAGTAAATAAATAAATAAATAAATAAATAAATAAATAAATAAATAAATAAATAAATAAATAAATAAATAAAAGTACATTTTTCATTTGTCATATAGAAGAATTATTTATTCAAAAATATCGAATTGGCTGGACACTACACCTGTACACCCTCCCCTTGAGAACAATCCTGCGTGCGCCTCTGATTTAATTAACAAGGTGAAATGTGGAAGAGTTCAGGACGCCGCCGAATCGAACTTTTAACCCAAACGTTTAAACCAAATTTCATCACGACAGTCCAAATAATATTAAAAAATATTTTTTTCAACAACTCTATGAAAACGGCGGATTCTGTTATTGTATTCGCACGTTAAGTAGATCATTTTGTAATATATATCAAAAAGTCAGTTGTCAAGACACACCATGACTTGTTACCATGAAAAAAATTACTTCACGAATGGAAATATAACAAAGTAAACAGACTTTAGTAATTTTTCTGCATTCACGTCCCTAAATAACTATTGCCGATCTACGGTCTCGGCAATAGTTATTTATGATACGAGTTCCGCTGTCCTACGAACAAACACTTTTACCCCGTGGATCATACACAATTTTTTAAACAGCCTTACTGATTTCCATTTTAATTCAAATATATAAATCACTTAATGTTATATTAAGGGCAGTATTACAGTGGTCAGACCAAAGTATTCTTTTTGTTGCATCCAAAGATTGATCAGAACACTTGAGCATCGTTTCATTTTTAGCATTAGCGCTAAAACTGAAGTTGAACCACGCTATACCGCTTTATAGCGTATAGCTTCAGCTTGATTATTTACATGATGATCGCAACTCAATATACAGTAAAGAATTTCTTTGGAATTTGTCTCGAAGAGTGTGTCAATGACGAGGGGACCTGACGATTCGACAGGTGGACCAGAAGGTGGAGCCGGACGCGTGCTGGAAGGGGTACAGCTACTGCGGACTGCTGGGCCATCGCTACCCCGACAAGCGTCCTTTAGGCTTCCCCCTGGACCGCCTGCCTCGCGACGAAGTCTCCGGAATCAACGACAACATTGAAACATTTCTCACGCCCAACATGAAGATAGCCGATGTGGTATTACGCCATAATGACCGCACTGCTCCTCCAGAGCCAATTCCCGTTCGCTAGCGCTACCCAGAACGAAAAGCCCCTGGACAGAGTTAATTTGCTGCTTAATAATTTCAGAAAATCTTTGCCCTATTTAAATGTATTAATGAACCCAACGTTAATCATATATTTCAATCTATGTTCTTGAATATTACTTCAGGATAATTCGAAGTACAGATTTCACAACATATCTTGAATTTTAAACAAGCTTGTTGAATATTATTTAATTTAAAAATGAATAAAATTAAAAAATGTACATCGCTCTAAAATATTTAATCTAAAGAAAAAATGTCAAAAACTTTTTTCATATACATTTTGCTATGTTCTTAAAACCGTTGGTAAGTTACTGCAACATACTCTGGACCTTCAGCAATAAATATTCTTATTTTCTGATTTGTTTTGTCAGACTCCAAAAAAAAGTTGCTGTTCCATATTCCTAAAAGCAACATTTTTGATATACAGGTTACAAAACATGATTCATCCTTCAATCTGATTTTTTTAAACAATCCTAAGTTACCTTTTCTTGTTAAATGTAAGAAAGGTTGAGCAATACTGATCTATCGATCAGAAATACCAAACTGTGAAAAGAGTGCATTTCGTGAGATTACAGGTAAATAATGGCGACTACCAACCACTTCATCAGTTTTGTCAAACGTAGGGTAATTACCGTCCACTAGCTGACTCGCCCGTTCCAACTCCTTCTTAAGATGAAATGAATCCGATAAAATTTTTTTTAATTTGCACAATCATTCTTACTTAAAGTTTATTTTCCGCGCGTTATTAGTAATATAAGTTTATATATATATATATATATATATATATATATATATATATAGAGAGAGAGAGAGAGAGAGAGAGAGAGAGAGAGAGAATCTCATGGGTCACGTAACATGCCGTACAGAAGATGTCTATAATGTTTTTAGTTTTTGAGAAATTTAACCATTAATGATTTTTTAACTGTATATTTTGCTCAGTAGCAATGGATAGACTATGAAAGGAGGAATACAATGATGATATGTTAGTATTTTGTTCGTATATATTAGAAACATTAGTATCCCCGCTGTTTTCCAACTTAGTGGAATTGCATATAAAAATGAAGAGATGCACAGAAATATAATAATAATAATAATAATAATAATAATAATGTAAATAAAAAGAACGATCATTCTTAAATTTATTTTTCTACATAAGCGCAAGGTAAGTAATTACGGGGATTGGAGGGGACGGGAGACCTCGTCTCTTCCTATGACACCTAACCATTCTCAATCGTGAAGGGACAGAATAATTAGAAAAAAGACTATTTACTACGAACTAGCCTATCTCAATCCTGAAAATAATCTCTTTTTATAAATGGGTAGGGTAGCTATCAACAAGTTATAAGTTATACAAACAACAAAGTATATTTCTGCATGACTCATGTCAAATATGTGATCTTTAAAAGCAACCTAATTTTCATCAGAAGTTAACAAACATTTTATACCACTTAAGAGTTTAATAAAATTACGGCGAGGAGAAAATTATGATAAAATATTATTATTATAATTTTTTTCTTTGATTACGTTTTGAGAGAGATTAAACTGGGAATGGGAAGGTAAGATCGTGCGCAGTGCGTGAGCCGTTGTAGTATGTGCTGCCAGGGGGAAACTCAGTAAAAAACGAGGCCTAATTGCATTTTGGTATTTGTTTATTTATTTACGTCAAAAACAGTTAAAAACTGTGTGTGATTTGCTATGAGGAGAAGTTAATTTGAAGTTACAATTATGTCCAGAAGCAAAACAAGGGGCCATTTCAGCATTTGCTCGAGGATCTGGAAAACTGGACAAACACCTAATCGAGATGGGGGACATTGACCCAGAAGTTGAAGTACAATACTTGTTACAGGTTCTTTATAATTATACAATACAACTGATATATAATACATTATGCGTATACAGTACGCGCCACACTCCCACTCATGTCAAGCATATCAAGAGAATTACTCTGCCGGTCATTGATTAGTGATTCCGGCCACTGCTAAAGTCATCAACCACATAAGTGTAGAGTGTTTTCATCGCACATCGATTTTAGTTATCGTGGCCCGGCGTTAATAACCCCCGGATTTGTATGCAAATGCATATATTTTTTCTAATGGTTACCTAGAAAATTAAGAGATCTTTAAAAAGCAGTCCATTTAGAGTTTTCCTGCCAAATTTTATTTTCTAGATTTTTGTATATTTTTCCATACTTGAAGGCTACTGCATTTTTCTGCACTTTCAGCGAAATTTTTGAAACAATAAGAGAAATGTTGTAATGTATTTAAAGATTAGTGAATAATTAACAAAGTTTAAAAAAATGTCTTGAATCATGCTTCTTGAAACTGATGAATTATAAATACCACTATTCATAAAACACCTCATTATCTTCATTAAAAACTTTATAATGGTTTGTGTCATAAAGAACTTGACGAACATGCACGGCTTCAATCAGGTCTTCCTCCATCTTCATAAACGTCACGGCGAACCTTCGCAAGAAACTACGTTCAAAGACACTGCGCTCCGCGAGGTCACCACGTGCAGAAACTGCGACACGTCACTCGGCGCTCTAACGTGCGTGGGTCCAAGAAGCATAGTGGTACGCAGAATCTCACCATGAGACATCCTGCGTCGCGTCACAGACCGGAGTCTCCTTTTGCGACTAGCCTTAGGGTTCTGCAGGTTCTTCACTCAACTCCGATCATTGAGCCAAGTTTTAAGCGAGTGTTTATTCAGTGAAACACTACGTGCAAGTGAATTCATATAAAAGTCACATTGTTGCTTGTTTGGTTATTACATGTTTTCGGGTGCATCAACTTCTACGGTCACTAGTCCCGTAATTGAAGTGTATTTTTATACGTATTAGTCGGCTTGCGGAGTTTCCCCCTTCAGATTTCTCCCACCACCGGGGCACCGCCCCAGTCTGGACAAACTCTAAGCTCCCAACTGGTCTCCCGGCATATCTGGTAGTGAAGAACATGTAAGGTAAGTGTGTGTAAGTAAGGGGTGAGGATAAACAAGGAAGAGGAAGGAATGATCGTGCGCGGTCTGTTGCCATTTGTTAGGGTACTGTTCCGGCATTCGTCTGGTGTTGATCGGCGAAACCACAGAAAACTACGATTCTGAGCAGCCAGAATTCCGAGCGCCTTGGATGGTGACTGTTGCGTGTTAGGACAGATTAAGTAATCCCTGTTGGCAACAGTTCACTAACCTCCCTAAGTGTTAGTTTTTTTTAATCAAAAGAAAAGTCAGCTCAGTTTTATCTATGATATGATGATTTTATCATGTCGTCAGTAGAAATGAAACTGTTTGATGCACTGCAATTTTATAATCCCGTGGTAGCAACACTCGTGACCTCTGACCTGCCAGATACAGCCCGCTGCAAAATCCCAGAACGAGATAAAAGTGTCACCTTGACCCAAATGTGAAAGACGAACGACCCGAGATTGGAGTGCGCTGCATGAGCAATGAAGCATACTATTGTATACGTGTATTAACGTACAATTAGTGCTGAAAGTGATCTTACAATGTGGAAACATTGGCAAACACATCTACAGTATATGAACTGAGTTTTAAAGAAATATGCGCAGGTAACCGATTAAGACAACAAAAAACCTACTCTTCGTTCCCTTATACTTTTATTTCAAAATATCAAAATACTACAAATACCACTATATTTACAAAGAAAACACAATGCCATGTTGTATACACAACAAAAATCTTATTCTTACGGTAAACGAAATTATTATGTCATTTACAAACTTGGATATTTTCCATTTGCATTGATTAATTGTCTTCAGTCATCACGATCACAATTGTCTTCAGTCACCACGTAATTACTCAGCCATAGCGGAGTCAATTACACTTCATTCTCATAAGGGAGCATTTTGAACATATATTTCATTTTTTTCATATTTTATTTTGAAGATGTTTTTCATATATTTCCATAGTAGCAAGGAACGACCACTATGTCTCACTGTGGGCACAAGATTTCATAGGTCCAGTTCTGCAATAAAGCAGCACCATACCATGCGCCTTTCGTCGAAGCAAAAAATAGCTACTTTTGTTTGATCTGAAAATATGACATTATCAAAAATCTGATTCTTTATTTCAGTTCTATTTCGCAAAATCAAATCGTGTTATACCATTTGATATACTCACTGAGACGTTTTCCTGCGATGAAACTCATTTCTCTCCAAATATTGTGAATTTACTAGCTGATTCTTCAAGCTCACTTGTCCCAACTTCACAGCCCTAATTTTGGAGCTCGTCTTAATTGTTCAAATGATAAAACGCGTATCTGCTTCTCTGAATACTTATGTTCTCTCTATTCAGGAACAATTTCTGTTTCATGAACAAATACCTATCAATAGTAATTGTAACGATGGCCAAGGTTTATTTACAAGTTCAGATATCCTTTGCAGATATTTTCACTTATTCTCCAATTTTGTTATTACTATTTGCTGCTGATTTCCAACTCCCACGAAGACGTGGCTACATTTTACTGAAAATCACTGACCACACGCTGCCCTTTATCAACACTGCGAGTTAATGAACTGGGGTGCAACAAATAATTTGCATACTTTGACTAAATGACTAAAATCTAACATTTCTCGACAGATATGTAACACTTTGTCTTTATAATCTGTTATACATTGAAATGTGCCAATATACTATTTTTAAGTTTATACACGTTGTGGTCGGCATTGTCACTTTAAATCAGGGACCGAATATACATTTAAATACATTTATAATATTTACGAACGGAGAAAGGATTTCCATGAATTTTTATAGGCTCAAGATAACAAAATTAATATTTTAGAGGATTTTTATATTTGTATAATAACATTTTTACATCCTTTTTCCCTTTACTTCCTATTTCTTTCTAATTCATTTGCATTTAAATTTGTCGGAATTCAACATCACAGTAACGATACTAATTTGCCATTAGAATGAAATGTAATTCCTGAAATCGTTATTCATATAAAAAAGCAATGTGATATTGCACTTCCATGACATCCAGATCTCCGCAGTAATTAGTCTAATTTAACTCCTCGCTTCCCAGAATTCGATCACATAAAATCAAGGATAAGCTAACGAAATGAGGATGAGCACACATTTGTGTGTTTCAGACTAGTGTCTAATTACTTCTGCAGATGTAGAACTGTTTTCAGCAACTATAAGTCTATTTTGATACCTGATCACAAAGTTCGAAAATGTGCGAATGCTTGTTAGGAGCAATTTTAAACACTACCAACAATTTGTATTTTTCATGTTTCATGTTTCATATAAGTACTAATATACCTAAATGTTTTACTTTTTTACTTCAATTACTACCATTCTCTAGACATTACCAAATCCTTTCTTGAAGTATTTTTACAGACCATTATATAGAAAACCAATTCAATTCTCTTTAAACTTATCAACGGAAGAGTAGGTTTCCCAATGACGTAGCGGAAGAGCCGTGCTTAATTTGAAACGACTTTACCAGCAGACATATTCGTCTGAGTCAGAGACTTCCTTCCTTCCAGAGCATTTTCCTTATAAAAGAAATTCTAAAATGAAGTCCAAAAATTTTATAATTTAAAAATTCAAGCTTCAGAAAATAGATAAATATTTTATTATTCAATTTTTTGGAAATGATACCTTATAAATGACTTTGAGTTATCTGTTACTAGCTTCAATAAAATGCATCAAAATTATGATAAATCCAAATAAGTAATGTATTAATCTAATTTTGTATTCATTCAAATTAATTTTTCAAGTTCGAGAGTTATAAATGTAACTAATTTTAAATAGATTATGAACTGAAAAATCAACATTTACAGAAATTCTTATTAAACATTATTTTCATTTTTTGCAACATCTAATAATATAAGTAATAACCTCAATAAACTTTTCTCTTGATTTCAATGTTAAGTATGTAAACTTTTATTAAAACATTTGAATATCTTTATAAACCGTTTAAATAAACTTGTAACCTTTTACAAAAACCCCGTTGAATTTATGTTTCAATAATCAATAACAACAAACTGGAATTGCTACATTTTGTTTCCACTTTTCTTACAATGGCAAAAAGTGGATCTGTCTATTTGTTTTCACCAAGCCCTTCAATTTTAAAAGTCGTAATGTGTTTGACAGTGTACTACCCGCATGTGTTTCTTCGATGCTCTTGTAATTGCTTACTAAATAACTTTAAAATAATATTCCAAAATTAAAAAATGCCTTTTAGTGGAAATAATAGTTTATAGTACAATTTTAAAGTGGTCATTCAGGGAAATTTCAGAGTAGAGATAAAATAAAATTTAACGTGTGAGGTGCAAAACGTTTTAATAGTTTGAGATTGTTTGGACTCGTTCACTTCATGTTAGAAGGAAGAAAAGATGGAGATAACAGTGTGGAATATGGAAGGAGGAGGCAATGCAGATGAGAGAAGACAACAAGAGAGAAGAGAAATTGAGATAAAGGAAAATAATACGAATAACATAATCCTTAGTTTACTCCATGTCAATGCAATTAACTAGTCCGATCTGCTGGAGGGAGGGGATTCTTTTAGAGCTGGGTCAGATGGGAGGGAGGGCAACTAGGGCAGTGAGGATACATTCTTTTTAGTCTCATAAACTATTTAAAGAGTTATGGAACCTTTATTAATGCGTTCTACTAGATGGGCGTCGATTAATACATCAGCAGACTAAGTTTTGGCTTAGACTCCCGCTGGATATGGGCCCTTATAAGGTTTTCGTCAAAATTTCTTCTTATTGCACAAATTAATAATAATTGTTAACTGTTTTATGAACGATATTAAAAAATAATACATTTAATTTCGATATGTAAAAAATATATTGCACTTACAAATTTGCTGTACAAAAAGTAGACGAAAATGCATATGAATGGTATTTATTATTTTAATATTATTTGTGTAGTTCGATAGTTAAATTACAACAAACTTGATTTTCGTCACGTGCTACACGCATATTGGATACTTTAGTATTGTTAAGTGCCCCTGATGTTCTTTATCCGCCCCTGCCACTCGTCCGCCGTGCGGGGGCAGGGCGTCCCCCTCGTGCTGGGGGAGACTACGGCATCGGCCGGGGCGGCGTCGTGCGGTCCTCGTGGCGCACCACCACCTCGGCCACCGCCATGTTGGGCGTGAGGAAGTCCTGCAGGGTGTTGACGCCGGGGCGCGGCATGCGGTCCATGGGGAAGCCCATGGCGCGCCGGTCGGGGTAGCGCTGGCCCAGCAGCCCGCAGTAGCTGTGCCCGTCCGAGCACGCGTTCGGCCGCGCCGGCTGCTCCACCTGCGCGCAACGCACGTCGCGCGGAGCAGCACCCACTCGCATCAGACGCTGGGTTCGTACGCTTCCGCGGCCGGAGTCAATGTATTCTTGGCTGTCCGGGATGAGCCGCGTCTCAGTTAATTGGACTAAAATTAAAACTTAAAACTTAATTGAACAGTCCAATTAACTGAAACGCGGCTCATCTCGGATAGCCAAGAATACACATCAGACACTGGCGTTCATGAGGAATACCACACGCCACTTGCGAGCGTAAGAGAAGGAGCAGGTTTACACCTTGCCCCCCCCCGCTTCCCTGGGCACGTAAGTAATGAAATTCCTAAGTCAAATGATTTATAATAATAATAAGATAAGGACGTGCCATTAAAATATCTTCAAGTAAAATAAAATTTATTCTGAAAATTTAATTTCTTCTAGTCATTCATCTGTTTGTTTAAGAAATTATAACGCATATTTTCGTCTTCTTAAAATTCTGTCTAAAATGAAGACCTTAGATTCTAAAATTTTGAAGTATATTTATGCACAGTGTCTACAGTCCTATGTCACGTGATTTAAAGGGCGTGAAGTCACATTACAAACGTTCTAACGGAGCCGGATTTACCTGCAAGCAAAGTAAACAGATATTTAGGTGCTCCCAAACAAGGAGAGCCCCTAAAAAGTCCCAAAATACGTTTTTAATGTTACAAAATGTATTTGTCTGTAACACATAGAAATAAACAAAAAATACGTGTTCAATTCTGCAAGAAGTTTGTTAATTTTCTTTTATTTCGATACGAAAAGATATTCTATTATAATCCATGTGTGTTAAATAAATCTGGAAAATTTTTGTTCCAGAGAGGGGCACAACAGGATTTTCTGCTTGCAGTACTTGCTCCCGCTATTCTTCACTACACCTTGAGCCCGCAGTACCTAAATCCGGCCCCGCGTGCTATAACGGCCTAGTGCCGAGCGGCGACTCACGCGGTCCGCGGAGTAGTCGGAGACCATGACGAAGAGCACGGCGCGCAGCCCTTCCGTGGTGCCCTTGGGCAGCAGCATGTGCTGCGGCCAGCCGCAGCCGCAGTAGTCGAAGCGCGCGCCCGCGGGGCCCGGCGGCCGCTGGTCCAGATTGCGGAAGGTGCGCTCCGGTGGGATCGTCACAGACGACTGGTTGTGCCAGCGCACGATGTTGCTCACCCCGGGGTCCACTGCGACAACGCATCAGTGCACTTGCGCAGCGCGAGCAGGAAGGGCAGGTTTAGTTAAAGTAACACCACAGCAGAATGGCAATGATATTTGAAGAGATTTTTTAGAAGAGGAATTGAGTATTTCGTGTTTCTGAACTCGTTAACTGCTATAGTCATTATTCCTATAAGTTCAGTACAAGTTTTATCACGGGAGGTTGTGGTTCGGGTTTTCCCCCGCTGCTGGTGTCGGGCGACTTCCGACGACGAGTTTACACGTCGGTTTGAGGTGTTTCCCCCTTAAGTTACCTCCCACCGCCCCAACTGGGACACGCTCTAAGCTCCCCACTGGTTCCCCCACATGTGTGGTGGCGAGCACGGAAGTCGTGTTTGTAAGGATAGGCAAGGAAGAGGCAGAAAGATCTCACCCGTTTGTTAGGGAAGTGCTCAGGCTTTCGCTAGGTGTTGTTCGGAGAAACCCTGGAAACCTGCCGATCAGAGAATTCTCTTCCAGACAGCGACTGAATTTGATGTATTTATCTAGCTTGTGTCGAAAATCCTGCCAGCGTCGAGACTCCAATCTTCGGACCTCCCGGTCAGAAGTACTGCAGTGTCATGAGCAACCTAGGCGAGGTGAGCTTGCTGAGGTGAGGCGGGGCGACGGGCTCAGTGTGTATTATTATTTTTATTACGCCGCATTACGCCCTGAGGAAGGTCGCAGAATGGCGACCGAAACGTCGGCACCTTCGCCATGGACGCGGCGTCACCCGGACAGCCTAGTAAATACTGACTCCGGCCGCGGAAGCCTACGCTCTCGGGCTCAGTGTGGTTGAGGCGGGCGCGGGGTGGTGCGACGCGGGGCCAGATACTCACGGCGCACGCGGAACTTGTCGAGCTCGATGAAGAGCTGGCGTTGGTCGCGGAAGCTGAGCGGCAGCCGGCGCTCGTCCATCAGCGGCGCCAGGAAGATGCGCACCGTGCCCTCGCGCACGCCGCCCGCCGTGTTGCGCACCTGCGCACGCACCGCTCACCGCTCACGGCGCACAGCCTCAACAAGCCGTTCAGGGATGGGAATTCGGAACTAAACGTCACACGGTGTGAAGGGATGCGTATCTGGTCTGTATGAATTGCATCGGTTAATAAATGTATCTTCTTAACATTTTATTTTCTATCTGGTCATTCATACAGGCTTAACGTAGTTTTGCAATTCAATGTTCCAAGATCTGAGGTAGGACATAAGCAGATGGGGGGAGTTCGTTTTATGCGAATCTCTCTCTAACTTTTGGAAGGTTTGCCTTAATTAGGATTTTTTATTTTGAATTTGTAAGACGCTATTGTTTAATGGAGTGCTTGAGACTTAAAGATATTTTTTCTATGAAATAAATTTATGTAAGTACCGCAAAATGCTGTCATCAGTCACTAATTGTTTTATCAGGCAATCTCCTTTTGGAATGCCACATTATTATTAGCTGGGGTAGAGAGGAAAAGATGCAAGAGATGAAAAAGTAGAACAATAAATGGAATGAGGATGAGGAAGTCGACGGGAAGGTGAAGGAATTCTTGACAAATATATATATATATATATATATATATATATATATATATATATATATATATATATATGTTGAACATTTATCTCTGCTTCCGCCAAGCCCTTAGCGTAATCCTGTCGTGTCCGTCAACATTTTACGTGGGAAAGTTCACAGAAGCAAAAACGCCCTAATCATTACTGTTTCTCGCTACTTCTCAAAATTTGATAAGATAGACTATGTTTCACAAATGTACATTACACAATATAACTTAAACAAAATTGTTTAAGAAATTTGAGGTATTATAATAGCGGATGTACAAACGGATTACGTCTTATGTGACAACATTTTATATTCACATCTTTCGATTGTTTCACGTCATCTCGCAAACTTTTGTTATATTTGTTTTAAATAAAAACCGTTATTTTTAACATTTTTGTTGCTTAAAGGTAGTCTTGCTTATGTTGAGTGAAATCCTTCAAAAGTCCACAAAATGCGATAGGCGGTCCAAACACTGCCGCGCGCACTGAATCATTATGATTAGGGGGCGGATTTTGATGATCTAAAAATCGCCTAAAATGATCAATCAAATGCTCTAAGAATGTTTTAAAATACCGTAAAAGCAAAGAAAATTACGTCAAAAATGTGATCAAAACCAGTTACGATGACCAACTCAAGGTGTTGGATCCGTTTATCAAGGCTTCTTCCAGTCGCACAAGTGATCTCAGTATGCAAACTTTTGGTTTGGACTCTTCTTTACCAGGAAATCTCTGTCTTTAAGTTATTCGGTAATTGGCCAAACCGACAATGACGCTGATATACATTGCAGGAAACTTACAACGGCTAACATTACAGTTACTGAGCGATGGAATCGAATAGGCTACTCAGGAATTCCGCGGAGAACAATTGATGCATCTCGTAAATATTATTTGAGCAAGAACCATTAAAATGATATTAAAATCGATTACATCGGCGAAAAATGCATTAAAAATTACAGAAAAGGGTAAACAAATTACGTATTAGTAGAAATAGACGCAAAATGCAATAAATTACTCATCAAAATGGGTCACTTCCTTTTGACATAGCATAAAATTAATTTCTAGACATTGTTCTAAAGTAAAAAGAAAAATAAGACATTTCATTAAAATCCGCCCTCTAGTTACGACTACTGTCTCTATAATACCCATGTAAATGAATGTTATTTAACCTTCGTAGACCCATCAAACTTTGTAAATATATTATTCATTGCAAACTCATTTGAAAAATGCATACGTTTCCCATGTATGTTTGCATGTTTTGGGAGTTTGAGGGGAAAATTCACGCGTAAGGCGTTTTTTTTCGTTTAATACAGCATATTTGTTCTTCTATCTAGCGTATTAAGTACTTTCTGTTTGTTTCTTTCAAAACTAGTTAATATTAAAATTGATGCACATCTTGTATAAAAGGTACACAATTCTTAGATCCAGAAAGACCGTTGTTGTCTTTGTTATAGATATAGAGACAGATTTGCAACACAATTGCACGTGCTGTGATCACAATCGCAAAATGAATTATATCAACGCCAAACCCAAGTCACTACGAATAAGGAAGTTACAGAAAGCCATAACTAAATATCTCTTGATAACTGGCTATGGGAGGGAAAAGTAACTAAATGCAGACTTTCAGTCCGCTTCCATGCGACAGAGAATTAATAGATGTTTTTAAGTGTGTAGCGTAAAATGGCTACTTCTACTGCATTCGCGTGCAACACATCTCAGATAATGGATTTCAAAAAGCAATTGTCTAAGGGTGGATGGAAATGTAATTTATTGCATATTGCTGACATGAAATACTATATGAATAGTGTAAAATCGGTCAATTAAAACACATTGATAGCTGCACGTGGTGTTTTGCTAGCCCATGTTTTTAGTACTTAAGTCTATTGTTGCTTCACAAATTATGTAGTTGGTGTTAAAACACAGAAATGGGAAAAACGGTAAAATGGTAAAAATGAATTTGTGATACGAAAAACAAAACTGTAATCTTCATCGAGATGTAGACAATTATTTTCTAGAAAATTAAAAACAGTATTTTTCGCATTTTTATGTTTCTGACCGGTAGATTGCTTTTATTTTCTTGTTTGGAGTAAAGAGAAAGTTATGTAATGCTACACGAAAAACGGCGAATTTTTGGCAGAAAAACTCTTTACCGGGCAGTAAGGAAAAAGTGGATAAATCCAATTGCTAAGTTTAGAAAAAAATCCTATAATACGTGGTGTAGTCAGAATCCATGTTTTGTAGGTCCTTGATACTGAAAAATCGAATGATAAATGACTCAATGCATGTATGTCCGTCCTTCCGTCCGTCCATATGTCTGTGAACAACGTTAGCGGCTAAAACGTTCAGCTGATTTGCTCCAAACTTGATATTACCCAATCAATCTGACTTATGTTACAACCCTGACTGTTACTGACTTATGTATTTGGAAAAAATATTCCAATTGAATATGAAACCAACGTCTAAGCCGAATAACCATACCTGGAAATGGGTGAATAACAATACGATAAAACGTGGCATTTGACAGTTCTAATGCAATGGCGTTCGGGCCCGCAATGAGAGTTGCCCAGGGTGAAAGAGAGCCTAGTTTTAAGGGATATTTTTTTAGTGTTTAAGATACTAAGACTACTTGTGGTTGCTCTACAATTTTACGAAAGAGTCCTCGCGGGCGGGCGCGCACTCTTTCCGTCGCAACGCGAAAACGCTGCCTTGCCGCGCGCAGCGTGCGCCAGGACGCCTCTGACCTGGATGCGGTGCACGAAGGGCACGTGCTGCAGGTGCGTGACGCGCACGAAGACCGGGCCGCGCGGCGCAAAGTCCAGCCCGCGCGAGATGTCGATGTCGCTCTGCTGCCAGTGGGTGCGCAGCTCGTTCGGCCGCGTGCCGCCCACCGTCTGCACCTCCGCGCGCAGCACCTGCACGCCGCTGAACGACAGCTGCAACGCGCCAGCCCCCGTCACAAGATGCTTTGTTTGGAGAAACAGCGGTTCACTTACACTCCTAGAGGGGCTGTCCTATAGACTGATTGTTTCCAGCCAAGTCAACTGCCAGCTAAGTCATTAGTCGTGTAAGTGTGGGGCATGGTTTCTATCCTGGGAGGTGGCGGTGTTCTTCCCAAGCTGGATGATGAGGTCTCGCGTTTGAGGAATACGGAGTATGTCCCCCCTCTAGGTGTCTCGTCATCAACGAATCTCCTCCTCCGCGTATCTCCCGTTCCCCCGTTATGAGTGGTAGTGTAGTGCATGTAAGTGTAAGGGTGCGTAAGTAAGTAATAGGAATATGAAGAGGAAGGAAAAATTGCGTGCGGTCCTTGGCCCTTTTGTTAAGGTACTGCTCCGGAATTCGCCTGGTGAAGAAACCAAGGAAAACTACCAATCAGCGCAGTCAGCCGCTATAATTGTCCTCCAAACAGCGGCTGAATTCAACCTAGCTATCAAGCTGGTGTAGAAAATTCTGCCACCGTCGGAACTCCAACCCCAGGAACCCCAGTCGCACGTTTTTTGGATCAGTTGATGCTGTTCCTATCTACTACTTCCGTTTTCAATTTGAATGTTTTTTTTCAAATACGTCGTCATCATGGTCATTCAAATACGTCGTCATACGTGTCATACGTGCTTATGGATGTAATGTCTCTGTCCGGTCATGCCCAGGGTGAACATACAAGAAAAGCCAGATCTTAGTGGGGAGACAAGGGTGTGCCAGTACCGTCCCCTCATTGGCGCACAGAAACAAAATTTCGAATTTTCATAGCCATGGAAATTAGTCATATTAAAATAATATATAAAATATATTTCAGAACGTTTGTTTTACTATGAAATAATAACAAATAAGAAAGTATTTTTGATGATCTCCAGAAATAGAGATCATTAGATAACCTTGGACCTTCGTTTGTGGGGAAAAAGTACGATATCCCGTAGAGATTTAGGCTGCAACGAAATTTTTAAAAAACTATAACAAAGCGCTTCCCATGGGTCATCTTTGCCTCTAAGGAATAAAGAGCAATGGAATTATGTGCCGGTAATATTAACAGAAATATGAAGGTGTTCTTTTGTTATACAAACACACGTGTTTCTTACTTACAGGGGTCTGCGAGACTCATTTAGTAATTATGAAGAATAAACGTGTCAAAACTGAGAGAAATATGTGCAATTTCTACCAGAATCACATATGTATTCCCATAGATTTGTGCGGTTTCCTGCCTAGTAGCAAGACGAGAAACCTACAAAAAGTGTCTTTCTGTAGAATTTCTCTGTGTGATTAACATAGAGCACAACTCTATACAGCCTGGGATAATTAAAAACGTTTCAAGAAAACATTAATATTTTTAACAAATTACTAGTTTCTTCACTAAACATTGTGTCTTTCACGTAGTCAGATACAAAAAGTTATGTAAACTTATTTTATTCATTAATTTTGCAGACATACCAGTAAAAATATGTTCAAATTATAAATGAATGAATTTGAAACGGGGCATTCAAGATAATATTTTTACCAAATGTCTCAAGATTGTATTCCTAGTGTTCCACAGATACGTGTGTATGATGTGTAAAGGAAAATAAATGTGTAAGAGCAGGGTAATATGACTTTAAACCATTATTTATGATAACATAAATGTCTCGTTGAAAATTTGTATTTCTGAACAAGTCTTTCTGATTGTTAAGCCATGCATCACGTGGTTTCTCGTATTGCACCAACCGAAGAAGGCTCACCTGATCCACGGTGTAACGCGGCAGCGTGGCTTTGTGCTCGTCGAAGACGCTCTGCACAAAGGAGTGCCAGCGGTAGAAGATCGGGTCACGCATCGCAGTAGTGGAATCCCCCATCACTGCGAACGGCTCCTGCGAGATAAACGCGTTCAGAAGCACAGTAGACCAAACAACATGCACCACACTAGCAAACGATATCCGCGGAACCATCACTATCGATGTGCTATTCGTTATTAAAGACGGCCCTACACGGTTTATGTATTACCAGTGTACTTCTTTATCCCCTCCGGGAGGTACTTTTTTATTTTATCCGGCCGCCTGTATTTGCTTTTTCTTACGTGTACGGAGTAGATTAAATTACTTATTTATTATGTTGAATAAACATTCTAAATCTTAAGGAAGAAAGCATTGCTCTATGACAAATCCGATATAACAAAAAGTACTGCTGAAGTTAATATAGTCGCATTATTCTTAAATAAAATACCTCAAAATATTAAAAGGGCGATCGGATAATATAATATGTAGCCTATAGTACATGTGGCGAAAAGACCACTCCGTGATCGTTAGTAAATATACTCACTTCCTACCTCGTTCATGAATGAACTAATTCGTACATAATGATCTCTTTTAGACCTTTCAAAATTAATCTGTACTCTCATGCGCCAGCGATATTCGACGCGAATCTGTCAACAGCGAAATCCGAAGTGCTTTGCAGTAAGCAAGGAAAACACTGATTCGTTTATACACGTTTATACACGTATACACGTATATTCGTTTCGCACGTAAATCATTGTATAAAATCAGCGTCAACTGTTATACACACTTCATAATTTCCTCCTCTTTCCTAGAATTGTCTTGTAAGAGTATCGGATTATTTTCGTTGTATTTTATTCAAACAAAGTGGTGTAGTTAAAAGATTTATCGATCGTCTTATATAAAAATTTTTAATAATTTTTGGTCCTTTCCTGGCCTTTAGTATAAAGTAGAAGACATCTGAAAGTAGAATAAATAAGTTGCGCGAGCAAGTTGAATTTTTTAAATTGAATCATGTAAATAACAAAATGCAGGTGTTATATTATGTCGTATTGTATTATTTCTAAGCCGTGGCCACAAGTTTATCCCTCGGCCTCTTTGTTACACTTACCCACCCCTCCTGTTCATCATGTATGAAAAGCCACTGAAAAGTTAAATATATAGTAATTATCTTTTTTCAAAGAATGTCATTACTAAAATTTTTACAATTTACTTTTGATCATTAATCAACCTTTCATCATTACGAAGTAAAATTTCTCAAAATTTTCAAAACTTTTAGAGTGAATATTTATATTCTAAGGTTGCTAATTGAAGGATTTCTCGAAAAAACAGCATTAGTCCAAAATCGAGAAAATCGAGTTAGAGCTGCCATTTTGTAGTGTGAACGTTTACAAATTACAGGGTAATATATACTCGGCCCAAAGTGCATTAAGCCCAAAGAAAAATAGGGAAGAATAAAGATTCTGGAAGAATATCATATTTCCAAAGTATTTCCGTTAAAAAACAGCCTAAGCCATGGACAAATGAAAATTACAGCAGAGGGTGTGATGAATTATCCTTCCTCTGAGGCACCATGTATTGTTAATAGGAGTGCAAATCTCATCAATTATTCATATTTAAATCCTCTCGGAATATTATAATTAATAATATTTAAATCGTCATATCCTCTCGGTAGTATGTTACAATTCTTTTCATGGACTCAATTACAAGAACTTCTGTTTTTTTCTTAATTTAAACCACGTGGGACTAATAAATATTTTACTTTTTAAAATTAACTTCCCCCATATCGAGAGGCCCTCACCAAGTGCCTGTTGTCAGGGTCGTGCGAGAAGGCGATGGCGACATGGCCGAAGTTGTGCAGATCGCCGTAGAGGTTGCGATTGATGGAGATGGCGCTCGACTCCAGGATGTTGCCCAGGATGTCGATGCCCCGCACCTCGTCCAGCGCCACTGTCTCCCCGGAATCCTGCGCTCAGTCACAGGACGCAACTCATATGTATTTCTGCTTTACAAGGGGATGTGCAGGGCGAGGTTTGATGAATTAAAAATTTTAAAATCAAGAAATGCAAGTCATTGATTTACAAATACAAATTCTACACATATACATTTTAAAATTAAGTACAGTCAAACCTTGGATTGGTAGATATGAGACTGTATATGGCTCTGTTGTATTGTGTTTGCTCACTGAGATGCCACATTGGTTCTCAATAAAAGTTACCCTGACGATGACCCAATATAAAGCCGAAGAGTTGGCAATTCTAATATGATAACTAAGTTCTTCTCGCTCAAACGCAATAATCCCTCTATCATCAGCATCACCATCCCCATCAAATCAAACACGATTCAATATCCTCCGTCCCAACAATGAAGGTGAGGTCCTCACCGCAACGACGCGGCGTGAGTGCACGGCATCCATGATGCGGTCCCTCCAGCGCTCCAGGTCCAGGATGTCGAACACCAGCGCCTGGTCCTCGCGCTGCACATCCTGCAATCCGAACCACACGCTGGTTATTCTGTGCCATGAGGCAGAGAAGAAGAAGTATGCTAGGTGTCCACCTCTGGGTACCATTGGGAAGAGGAATGTGTGGTGCGTGTATGTAAAGGGCTATTTACAGGGGAAGTCACATTTGACTCTTCTGAAGTACACATTCGAAATTCATTACGTACTTGTTACATGACTTTACGACATCAAGGGACGACATTTATGGAACAAACATGTCTGTGTCGTAGTTAGGATCTAAAATGTGTATTCTTCCCATTACCACTCGTGTGCCTATGAATTACAAATTTTCTTTTGAAATTTTTACTTGAATCGAGGATCATAACGTGATAAAAATGGCACAAAACACATACAATCCCCATTAAAATCTCAATTTTCAAAAATTTCAAAAGTTAGAAGTTTAACAAAAGTTAAAAGTTCCCAATCAACTACGTTATTAAAGAAAACCATTTTTAAGGAATTTGTTATTCAAAATTCGATTTTTAATTAATTAGATGAACATTTTTTAAATACTAATAGTTTTCGCGTAGTTTTGAGTTGTCTGGATGAGTGCTAGTTATTTTAAACAAATATAGAAAAACGATTTTCTCAAAAATGCTCTACATGTTTTCACTATGTCTTTGCAGAAATTTAGTCTCCTTAATCATATGACATAGGTCCGACTTTCATAAAACTTCTGAAATTTTAAAAATTGCAGAGGTATTTTCGAATGTGTCTGCGCCTTCAATATTGAAGCTAGAGGTTTCTCATACATTGCAATCTAATTCCGATAATTAGTTTTTTAAATCATTTTATGTACTACATGTTTTCGAAAAACTAGATCTGAATCTGATATTTGTTCGTAACATAATTGACATTTTGTTACATTCTACTGCATCCTTTTACATTAAATTATTGTCTCTTATTGTCTGTCGTGTCTATCGTAGCAGCTTGTGCTTCTGAGACGGAGTTCAGTATTCATTAGTATTTGGCAGGTATATCGAAATATTTCCGATTTCGTCAGAACGTCACTTTTCAAATAGCAGCACATGCTGAATATCACGCCAATCAAAAGTGAAAGTCAGATGTGAAACATTGGTACATGAAATTTTCCTCCACATCGTAATTCACAAAAGTGATCCCCTTTGACACTCGTATCTGACCTACAACTATGTGTGTTATGTACACTAAGAATCCTTAATATAACACACTGTTGTCACAGTTGGAAACGTGGAAACATGGTTATTACAGTATTGAAGAAACATGTACCGTTATTTTATTTCCTTCTTTTTGCATACTTTCTTACTCGAATTCTCCATTTAGTCCTTATTCCAAGGAAGAATTTCCGAGCAACATCATTTCCGAACCTAATAAATTTCTCTTCCGATGATAATTCTGATAAAAATTTTGTTCTTAAATCTTAGTAGTCGCGTGGGCCTATACGGCCCATGTGGATTTTTCTTTCCCTCGCATCTCTTAAAGTAACTGATGAAGGGAAAATTTCTTTCAGCTAATTCTTATAATTTCAAGACCCTTCCAGTGATATGTCCAAAAGATATAAATATTCTCAGTCTGATATTTTGACCAGATGCGGCCGACAGTGCACGTAGAATTTCCAGGCTACGCCTCGCTCGAGCCGACTGTGTACATTAGTTCCATGTGTTGAATTTTTCTCCTGGAGGAAAAGTAACCAAAGTTTTTACCGTTTGTATTGTATACATTAACCTTATATCGAGATTATAAGTGATTTAATTTTATTATATATGGATACGGATGAAGGTATACGAATGAAGGTATACGAGTACTTGCGGGGCGCTTGAATGTAGACTTAGAATCAATATCTGGTGAGACTTCTAAATACGAAGGTGAAGAAGATGAACCTGAAAATAGTGAACAAAATTCTAATTTTAAAATAGAGGAGACATCACGAGATTCAAGTCAGTCAGTACAAGAGAACAACAAATACTAATTGAGTAACCTCGAAAGAAGAGAAAGAGATGTGAAGTATGTCCAAGCACGAAAGACAACAGGTATTCTCAATGTTTTGCAATAAGTAACACAACACTTTGCAAAAACCTCACTATGGTATATATACGTCCTAATTGTAGAAAATAACATTTAATTTAATGTAAATTATGCAGGGCCCCTATTGTATTCTGAACTTCTATAATGATGTGTTTAATATATGTTTTTGTGAATTTATTTTTTGTGAAAGCATAAAATATCTTTCGGTATATTGGCCAAACATTATTACTTATTACTTAAGACTTATTATTCATTTACTGTACTTTACAACCTTCCAGGAATGCATTATTATATGTCTGGACACCGCGACCCGACACGAAGAGTTGTGTAACTTCCTTCGCTCGAGTACTTAAGGATTAAGAAATTTTAGTAAGGTCGAATCAGAAGACATCACTCTTGTGTTAATGTATTTGATGAAATGTCTCCATCTCATCTCATAGTTCGAAGATTTTCAGTGAAGCAAAACAACATTCGGAGGATGTTTGATCTTTGGAATATTCAAATGGAATGGAATTGTGAACGCCCTCATTATTGAGTAATGGAAATATGAGGACTCATGAAAAATTGATATAGATATACAAAGAGATATTTTGACATGCGTTTGCGTTAAAAGCCTAAAACCAAATCCTATCAGAGAATTATTTTGAAAATACATCTTAAAATCTGCTCATTAAAGCCAACGTCAATAACCTTAGGCTATGTTGTTCTGACAGTATATGGGTTAAAAACACAAAGGAAGATGTTAGAAATAAGGAAGTAAGAAATTGTGGCTATCCATATAATGGCCAGAAAAGCTGTCACCTTTACTGGAAATTTCTCGAAACAAACAGTTGGATCGGAAAAAACATTTTATCCGATATTGATGGATACGTCCTGAGGAAGGTATCCAAGGTGTTGTGAATGCCAACATCTGCTTCAAACTAAAGTGCTGCATTCCCTGCTGCGTAATATTTTATGTACATAAATATTTGTTGAAAAATAATGAAACTGAAGACTTAATGCAAGCTGTAAAGAAATTAGAATACCACAGAATAGCGTATAGTTGTCGCAAGTTGCGGTGTCGTTACAAGCCCATTTTGCGTTGTAATGTATTGCAAAGGGATCTTTTCGAGATAACACAAGTGAAATATATATAAGTGGAACAATTCTCATTTGTGTGCCAAGCTGTGTTCTTTTAGAAAACGTATACTGAAAACATAAGGTTTTTGATTCCCGGAAGAACAAATAAAGACCTAAAAGTACCCGAAATAAACAAATAAATTTCAAGTGGTCGGTGTCACGGAACTAGACTCAAATTTTTGTATCTCTTATTCTCCTTTCTTTCATATTTTAATAATATAATATGTAGGATTAAAGAAACATCAACTTTTTTTAAAAGAACAACCACCTGTCGTACATACACGAAATCAACAATCTCAAAATGCAATGAACTACGTTCATGATATTATAATTCAGTAAAATATGCTTACAGTACGCCGTAAAGAAAATATAAATAAATAAGCTTCCCTAGCTTCATATATTGTAAATATCAACATGATGTACTTTAAAAGTTACAAAATATTCCTCTGTAAGGAACGTAGGAAAGTGAATTTTTCCTTAACCCCAGCAAAAATCCACCTGATAGGCCGGAGTGTTCCTTCTTAAGTCAGGAATCCCCTTCCAGCTTTCGGTATCGGGGTTCAAATCTCGTCGATACGTGGGGATGGACGGACAAAGTGGGTTCGTGGCAGGCTTTCCTAGGGTTCCCCATTTCCCCTGCCTCTCGTGACACCCGTTACTATAATCCTAAGCCAGCACTTTGGTGAATTTCGTTCACCAGCAGGAACGTTTGCCTTCTCATTCTTGCAAATTTCAACTAAACACCGCGCCACACTTACTATAAACACCTGCTCGAGTCCGCAGTGCATTATTATGACATTCGAAGAAAGTTCTGTTTTCAAATTTAATTACCTGAAAGTCTGCACAGTGTGTACAAAATTCAGCACACGTCTGGTCAAGAAAGTAAAATATTTTATATTTTAAAATCATGTAAAGGTTATAGGCGACAACATTGACCACAGCCAGAGAGGCAGACAGTAATTTTGCAGTCAACCAATTTTTCCGTATTAAAGACCCACAAAAGTTTGAATCTGTCACAATGTGTTGTAGAAAGTAATTTTCTACAATAAGAATAAGATTTATCCAGTTTTTTGATATGAAGGTCCCATAATCCGTGTTCTTCTGATGAAAAATCACCATTTTCTGCTGCAGCATTTAATATATTATCTTTATTACGTAAGTTCGTAGGGGGAGAAAGTTAAAAGCGCGCTCGCTCTAGGGTTAATAAAAGACATCATTCTATTGACTTTCAGCATTCCCAACAAATGTTTAGCCCCATTTTACCGCCAGAACGCAATAAAGGTGAACCATACAAAATCAGTCCCAGTTTTCCAGTATTGTTGGTTTCAGTCACCACCAAAATTTAGGACCACGCACACAACACTCCGGCTCAATGAGTTACATTTACACAGAGATTAACGCTAGTCATATCGAGGCGATGATATATTTAACACTTTGAGTCTGTCGCAAAGATTCAGGCAGTCAGTATTTGTAGCAATAGTGGCACTAAGAGTTTGACACTGTATGAGTGGCTTTCACGTTAGATGAATATTTCCTTCTACAATGAGTTTATACACGATTTTGTTGAAGAACATGATGCAATTATTCTAATTTTCTGACTGAGAAATATATTTTCGCAATGCATTATTGAATCCCAAGCACTTGAAAGGAAACCTAGGCACATTAATCCTGTAAAGCCGAGAACTGGATGTCGTATTTTTCTTGCTTAATTTAAGCAATTCAAATTCTCTAGAATAATCATGACTATGACTACGAATGACAATAATACCGTGGGTACAGTGGGAGAAAGACCTGTATTTTAACAGACTCGTTGAAGTGAGGTAAAGAACTGTTTTTCAAATGTATGACGGACGGAACTAAGA